CCCAGCCCCTCCAGCAGATTTTTTTGTACACAGTCTACAATAAATAGATGCGCGCTCTTTCAGATTCTCAGGGTTATCTAGTGTAATTTGCTATTGGTGGAAAAGCTTTTAGGTTCTAGAAAGCTCAATAAGTTGTATAACCTACTTGATTTCTTAGGGAAACTCAGAGGTAAGGCTGTGGGTCTCCCATAGGAGAGCTCTAGTTTGGGGTCTAGCTGTGTTCTCCCAAAGGGCCATACATAAATTGTACTTGCTGTTACACATTGGGAACAAAGCTGTTGAACAGGCTAATTTGTCTGGTGATAACCAGGCTGTATTGATAGAAAAAGCCTCTTAGGGGGCCTTGTTTGTGGGGAAGCTTACAATATAATGATTTTGTAAACAGAGGAAGGAGCCAAAAGGTGAGGCCAACTCCTCCAGCCCTGCAACACCCATCAAGATCCCTGACTGCCCTGTGCCTGCCTCTCTGTTGGAGGAGCTGCTACGACCTCCGCCTGCTGTGAGCAAGGAGCCTCTCAAGAACCTGAATAGCTGTTTGCAGCAGCTCAAGTATGATCTGTACTCTGTGCATTTTATTTAGCCTTTGAGATGTCATGTAATTTAGTGCCAACAGGACCCAAATAGACTTCTGCTTGTTGGGACTTCTCAAAGGCAGAGCCTCTAAGTCCATGTTGTAATGTGGAAGTGGCTTTATGAACTATTCTGGTAAACCAGATATTTTGTATTTGTCACCCATGGACTGAGTCTCCAAGCTTAGGATACAAGAGGCCAGTGTCATGGGGCATGCAAGATAACGTTTCCATGGGCAGGTGATAGCTCCCACATATGAGTTGGTCAGCATGGACTCTTGGGTGTATTGTCTTTCATCTTTAACATGGTCCTGGCAGAAGTATCTCTCAAGCAGAAGCTGAGCCAGATGGTCTCCTGGGTTCTGCCAAAAATGAAGACAGATGCTTAAAACACTTGTATTCTGAGAGGATGGCTGGTTTTGCTACCTGGTTACATATTTGTTAGTCTCTGAAAGCACCATACATGCCAATGAGCCAGTGCATCAACTCCACAGTTTGTTAGTGGCAGCTATTGATGGTTGGTCTGCCTGGGCCTCATGTAACCAGATCTTCCTTTCCCTTATCTCATGTCCTCAGGCAGGAGATGGACAGTCTACAACGCCAGATGGAGGAACACACCATCACTGTGCACGAGTCTCTGTCCTCATGGGCTCAGGTGGAAGCTGCCTCGGGAGAGCATGCCCACCCCAAGGGAGACACAGAGCCACATGGTCAAAGTAGGGCTTCCAGAGGAGGGCTGAATCAGTGACCATCTTCTTTGTTGCCACCAAATGTGGGCATCTGTGTAAAGGAATGTTCTTTTGTCAATATTATTTATTTGACATTTTTCTAAGATGACATATAAATTTTACTTTTGCCTTTAACAAGGAGTAAAATAACAGAAGGAGAGCCGAGGATGAGTCATTTGAAATCACAACTAGCTTTTCCCATGAAATGACCAAATCTTAAAAAACAGTCTTCAATGAAGTGCTTGATGGGTTATTTGCAGAAGGAGGCCTCTTATGAGTAATGGTAGGTGATGCCATCAGCCAGGTCCTAGTTGGAACTTTGCACAACAGGGTGTGTGGTCAGCAGTGCCTGGGCAGGCTAGGATGATGTTTCTCACCTTCCTGTTTCACTCAGTAAGAGTTTTACTTTGCTGCAGTATCACTTTTACCTTTAGCTTTTCACTCACTTCTTAATAGCCATCCCACCATAAGCTGTGTACATAAATACCGGAAGTCTTTTTAAAAGCCTATGCCTATATTATTTAAGGAAGGATCTAATTGTCTTTATTGACTGCATTTTGAAAATTTGCTGTTGGGAATTGTTATGTGTAGGATTTAGGGATGTCATAAAGTTATGTTTTAGGAAATATTACTTACCTTCTAAAACCAAATATTCTTGCACAGAAAAGGTTTCTTGTTTTTGTTTTTCTTGACAGTCTTCTGTCAATGTCTTTGAAATTTATAGCACTGACCTGTTAATGCCACTAGTCCTGTGTGGTCACTACCCACTTAGCTGTCACCAGGTAAGACTAAGTCAGACCCTTGATTGGGCTCAGTGGCCACCAGGAGACACAGGACACCAGTGTCCCCACAAACTGAACTGACATTTGAGGAGTGCAGGGACCCGAAGGAGAGTGGAAGGGGCTTTAAACTCATCTACAGGTAGTAGGCTGTACCTCCATGCTCCATGAGATGGTTGGTGTTTACTCAAGCCTGTGTATGAGTATTAGCACTCAGGAGAGACCCCTGGCCCTTGGAGGATGCCAGTGTTACCTGAAGTCATAGTGTCTGGAAGAAGGTCGTATTGATCCCCTAAGACACAGGAGGTTTAGAGACAGATGCTTTGTCCAGCACCTACTTCGTGAGATTTTCCTGGGATTTGCTACAGGTGTGTGCTGACAGAGAATTGAAGTCTTTAAGTTCCCCCCTAGTTTGGTAAGAAGATCTAAAATAAAACTTGTTATGAGTTAGAAGGAAAGAAGGAGGTCTAAGTGGCTTGTGCAAGCAGATCTGATATGAAAGTGAATTTCTAAGTGTTATTGATCAGCCTTGTTGGTAGAATACCTGTGGCTTCTTTGTTGAGAAAACAGTATGGAATTTTAAGTTGTTTATGTTCTCTTGTAATATATAGTGTTAGAAGGTTAACTGATTGATGCACTGAAGAGATTGAAAGATGTTTGGTGTTTCGAAAATATCCCCTAGCAAGTATCAGAACTTTTAAAATATGTATAGAATTTGTACAGGGCTAATCTTGAAATAATACTTGAAAACTTCATTTTAAATATACCCTATCTTAAATTGGAAATTGTTTTTTGTGCCCATACTGGGGCTTGAACTCAGGGCCTGGGCACTGTCATTTAGCTTTTTGCTCAAAGCTGGTGCTAAATTCCTGGAGATGGTTTTAACTACATTGTTCTTGTCCTAATAGGAAAGAAAGATGGTAGTTTACATTCTTATTTATTTTGGTTGTATTATCTTGTTTTAAGAAATAATGCCTGGGCTTGTTCTGTGGCAGGATTTTTCTCCCTCCTGCTCAGGACTTTGGGTGGGGCTTACTATTTTTCTTTTGTCTTAGGAGAAACTCATTCTTGCTTAATTTACCAAGTAAAAGTCCTTCTCCTGTCCTCATCCCTTTCTTCTTTTGTCCTTATCGCTTTTCTTTTGCTCTGTTGTACTGAGTATGGGTATGTGTACCCTCAGAAACGGCAACTCCTCTAGGCCTTGCCATCATTCTGTGTGAGTCTCATTGCCAGGGCCACATTGGTCCCATGAAGGGACAGCTCCAGCCTCTGTCCATCTTTGTGCATCGATTTTTATGCACACCTACAGTTCTGGATCAGAGGTCTCCTACACTCAGTTGGTATAGGGAAAGGCCAATAGTCCCTGTATTCCTATGTCCATGAATATTTTCTTAAACAAAAATAAGGTGTCATATAAAGATTCTGGAAGTGAAAGGGACCAGTCTATTTGAAACAAAAATGCCCTAGAGTCTTTCTACCAAAGACTCTAGTAACATTAGTAACACCGGGGTGTGAGGCAAAATGAGCCTTAATCTAATACACCTACTACAGAGTTAAAAAAAATATATATCATTTTGTAGTGGTTTCAGGGTCTGATACGATCCTTGGGTTGATGCTTTAGGAGGGTCTGAAAATTTCAGTGGTTTTGTTTCTCATTTCTATTTAAAAAAAAAAAAAGCAAAAACAACAACCTTCTTCAAAGAGTCCTCAGGTTGGGGGTTTCCTAGGAAAGGTGTCACCATGTGTCACAGATTGTAACTTTAAAAAGCATGTTGGTTTTTTTTATGGATATAAGTGTGCTTGGGAATTCCTTAAATTTTGTGCAATAAACTATTTTTGGTAAAGGTTTTCATATTTCATTGGAGAAGTTTCATTTTAATTTTTTATCTCACGTTAAACCCTATGTTAAAGTGAGTTTAGAAAGAGAATTCTGTTCTGTCACGGTTTGTTGCTTTAGACCAAGCAGGAGACGCACGACGTTGTCTCTCCTTTGTAGGCTGTGTGGCAAGCAGCACGGGAAGAGAAGTGTGCGGGACAGGGGCTCTGATAGGCTAATACTGATCACATGATTCTTACATCTTAGTCCTGTCACTCCTTATTTCTTTTTTCATTTGTCCTTTATTCCTAATCAATAAGGGTTAGCCAAGTATAGTTTTCAGCTAAATATTACTATTAATAAACCTGTGGTTTGAAAAAAATGCAAAAAGCAGCCAGTCTCAGGATTTGAGTGGGTTGGCGTTTTCTTCCTACACCTCCATTTTATTAGCTCATGTAATGGTTATGCGACTACACTCTAAAGTACTGGAAAGCAGGTTCTGGGCAGCGGTCAGGGTGGGCTGCTAATACCGCTGTCATCCTGTTTCAGCCAGTAACAGTAGCCAGCATGGCCCCGGGCCCGTCCTAGACGGGGGGACCTGCAGCAGCCCGGGAGGCTTGCGGGCCCGCTGGCCTTCTCTTCTCACTGGGCAGTGACTCTGTCGAGAGCCGCGGAAAGTGGACTCGGGTCTCACCGGCTCCGCGCCCACAGCCCCCGGGCCACCGGGGCTCCCACCGGGCCGCTGGGGCGGGCGGACGTTCCCGCGTCCCGCCCGGCCGGGGCCCGCACGCAGGGCTCCCCCACCCCACGGCGGGACGAGACCCGCCCGACCCCGCCCGGCCTCGCGGCCGGACGCCGCCGCCGGCTCCGCCCCCCGGGGCGCAGGCGACGCGCTTGCGTCAGAGCCGCGCCAGCTGCCCGCGCCGCTGCCTGAGGCGCTCGCGCGGACCGGACCCTCCTCGCCGCCGCGGGCCCCGCCCCGCCCCGCCCCGCCCCGCCCCCGTGAGCGGGAGACGCCGGGCGCGCGCGCCGCTCCGCCTCCCCCGAGCTGGGCCCCCGCCTAGGCAGCGGCGCGGGCAGCCGGGCGGGGCCTGAGGCGGCGGGGCGCCGGAAGCCACGCGGGCAGCCGCGGCCGGGCCGCTGTCGGACACGGGAGGCGGCGATGCCGTGGCCGCGGCTGGCGGCGGCCGAATGGGCGGCGCTGGCCTGGGAGCTGCTGGGCGCCTCGGTGCTGCTCCTCGCCGTGCGCTGGCTGGTGCGGCGGCTGGAGAAGCGGCCGCGGGGCCCTGGCGGGAGCCGGACGCCCGCCCCGCCTCCCCGCGCGGCGCCGGAGCCCCGCTCAGGTGAGGCGCGGCGGCGGCCGGTGGCCCGGAGGGAGGCGGGCCGGAAGGGAGCGGAGGAGGCCGCGCTCTCGGCGCGTCTGAGCGCGGAGCCCGGTGCGTTACCGGGCTGGACGGAGCGCGAGGGCGGCCCGGGGTCGGGGCCCGCGGGGAGCGGGAGGGCGGGCCCGGCGACTGCGTCGGGCCGACGGCGGGGTGGCTGGCGTCAAGCTGAAGTAACAGACCCGGAAGCGGGCTGTGCGGTGCGGGTCCGCGCGTCGCCGAGCGGCCCGCCCGGGCCTGACGGAGCGGGAGCCCCGCCGCTCTGGTGCGGCCGGAGCGTCGGAAAGACGGGCCTTGCGACCCGTGGGGTTGGTGTCGCGCCTCGGGCTGGGCTGCCAGGGAACACCCGGGAGTCAGTCCTGGCCACTCCGGAGGCGGAGATCTGAGGATCACGGTTTGAAGCCTGAAAACCCGAAAACCCTAAGAGGCGCTGTGGCCCAGGTGGTAGAGTGCTGGCCTGGAGCAAAAACGTTAATGGGTGGTGCCCAGTCCCTGAGTTCAAACCCCGCGCGTGACCCACAAAAGGAAAACAACAGCAACAACAAACAGAAAGTCAGGAGCATTCAACACATAGACGATAGGAAAGTTCTAAGACTAGAAGCTCACTAGGAGGTTGGCAGGCTTGGGGTTATTTGGGGAACTTGCTGATTTGGACCCAGTGTCATCTGAAGCTTGTGTTAGCTCTTCAGCCTTCCTGTACTGCAGTTGTTGCTTACCACGCTGTGTTCTTCAGGGGACCATGTTTTATTCACCCTCTTGCTAGAAGACTGATACATTCCAGGAAGATGACATTAGTAGAAAGCAAAACTGCTAACCCTCACCTTCGAAACTCAGGACTAAACAGGTTCTTAAGAGTACTTAAGGCCTCACATACCACTGGAATTATATGCAACTTATTTATTTAGTGGTGCTGGGTATTGAACCCAAGGTCTTGCATGTGGTAAGCAATCACTCTACCTCTGAGCTACATTCTCAGCCTTCCTCAAGGATAATTTATTGCTCAAGTGTTTGTTTTACAACTGAAGAAATAGATGCTGGAAGGTCAGGCTCTTGGTATCAAACAGGCCTGAGGCAAAGGCCAGATGGAATGTAGATCTGTGGACAGTGAGTCCAGCACCCTCCATCACGTTGGACTTTGCCTTCTCTTGTTCCCTTAAGAAGATGTTAGGGTAAGTAAAATGCTTATTTATGCATTTACACCATTAACGCTACCAAAAAACTTAATGCAAGACACTAAGAATGGAAGCACTGAATCAGAAGAATGAGTGTGGCACTGCAGTAGGCTATAGCACTAAGACACTACAGTTTGCAGCATCTTTTTTCCATTTAAGAGTTTCTTTCCCATTTCTGGTAGTTCGATTGTAAGCATTTTAGGTATGTACAAGATTACAAAGAAACATACAAACCAACTGAACTGGTGAAAAAGCTGGCATTATCAGAAGATAGGGCAATAATTAAGATACCACTACACTAAGGTAAAAAAAAATACTATTCTTTAAAAAAGTAGTCAGAGATGTTGAGAAACCAAATCTTTCCTGCATTATGGGTAGAAATGTTAAATAGTGGAAGTGGCACTGTGCCTCAGGTGGTAGAGCTGAAGAGCTCAGGGACAGTGCCCAGGCTGAGTTCAAGCTCTATAATCAACAAAAAAAAGAAAAGGAAGGTTAAATAGTGAAATCACCCTGTCTGGCAGCATCTCAAGGAAGTTAGGTCTGCCATACATTCCTGAGATTTGTTCTAGAGAAATGTAACTGCTTCACACAAAACTCATATATGAATGTTAAGAACAATCTTACTTGTAATTGCCCCAAACTGGAAATAGCCCAGATGCCCCTCACGTAATGACTGGTTAAACAGACTGGCGTATGTATACTCTGAGGTGGTCCTTAGCAGGGTCCACTCAACAACCTGGATGGCATTCGGGGGCTTTGTGCTAAGTGAGAAAAGTCAGTGGCAAAAGGTCTGAAACTTTATTGTGATAGAAACAAATTAATAATAACCAGTGTTGGGGACAGTGGCAGAGGTTGGATGTCACTGTAAGGAGCAGCAGGAGGGAGATTTTTGGTGATGGGACATTTTTTTAAAATTTTTTTGTCAGTTGAACTCCGGGCCTGGGCGCTGTTCCTCAGCTCTTCAGCTGAGGGACCACTTGAGCCACAGCATCAGTTTTCTGAGTGGTTTATTTGAGATAAGAGTCTCACGGCCTTTCCTGCCCCAGCTGGCTTTGAACTGCGATCCTCACGTGAGCCACCGGCGCCCGGCCCGGCGTGATGAAACATTTCTGTGTGCTCATGGTGAATACCCAAGTCTGTACATGTGATAAACTGTCAAGAAATCTTACACAAAAAGAATGCCTGTAGAGATTGGCTAGATCCACAGTTTGTTCACTGTATTATGTGAGGTTGCTTTCCTGCTTTTGATAATGTACCATAGTTATGTGCACCTTACAAGGGAAACTGGGTGATGAGCCCATGGGAACACTGCTCCAGTTTTGCAACCTCTTTTGATTCTACAATCATTTTAATATAAAAAAATTTAAAGAAATTGTGTATACCATTGATTGAGATTCCCTACTTGTTAGTATGTTACATAATTATACTGCACCTGTGAGAAGGAGGAGTGAATGATACCGTACTGTTGTCGATACTACAGACTTAGCACAGTTCACATCTCTGCCTGCTTGTCTGTCACATAGTCTATGCAGGTCAGTCAATCTACACAAGACTAGTGATGTTTTACCAACTCTTAGATTTCAGTGCTGCATCAGTGAGCTTATTATAGGCTCAGGGGCCAGTGAACTGTGGTCCCCACTTGTGAGTAAAAGCTCCTTAGAGCACAGTGCTGCATTCTTATGTGTAATTAATAGCTGTTCTTGAGTGCTGGAGTGGCGTCCTGGCTCACAAAATTTCAAGTGCTACTCTGGCCCTTCCAGGAGAGGTTTCCTGACCCCTGATCTCATCACATGTCCCTTTCTGTGTCAGAAGCAAGAATGTATTTAATCATTTGCTTCATTGTAGAATAAATATAAAATAACTTCAGAATACCTGCCCATTTTATTGTGGGAAACATAGCCATTAGTTTTTGTAATTGTGTACAATGCTTTTCTAGAGACACCCTGGTTTTCAGAGTCACTTGAGTCAGTTTCCACCACTCTTGTTATCCATTGCAATAGTTAGGCTCATTTGTTTTGGTTTGTGTTGCATTTGGGGATCTCCACCATCTTTGTTGACTTGCCTCTTGAGTATCAGAATAGATATCTAAATGCTTACAATCAGAAATGTTACTCTTCTTCCTTACCCTCTTTTCCTGGTTCCTTCCTAGTCTAATTTGTAACCAAGCCTATGAGTTTCTATCTTAGCTTTGTTTCTGTGTATACACACGAACACAAAAAGAGACTCCACTACTAATACACTGTTAGTAATAGTATACATTTTTGGTACTTATTTTTTGTTTGTCTTGTTTTTTGTCAGTCATGGGGCTTGAACTCAGGGCCTGGGTACTGTCCCTGACCTTTTTTGTTCAAGGTTAGCACTCTTATACTTTGAGCCACAGTGCCACTTCTGGTTTTCTGAGCAGTTTATTGGAGAAAAGAGTCTCATAGTCTTTACTGCCCAGGCTGGCTTTGCACTGAGATAATGAGATTTCAGCTTCTTGGGTAGCTAGGATTACAGGTATGATCCCTTGTTTTGTTTTCTTTAATGTTATGTATTGCCCAACAGGAATTTCCTCTGTAGCCCATATGGCTTCAAACTCTGGACCCTCCTGCCTCAATCTCTCAAGTACTGAGATGATAGGCATATAACATCATGCCTGACCTTACGTTTTTTTGTTTTTATTCTGACTTTCTAGCATGCTATTATTCACTCTGAAATATTAAGGCTTTGTTCTTTTACAGCTTAATAATTATAACTGACATTTGTGCACAATCAGTGTCAGAACTGATAGTACAGACTCTACGTGCATCATATCTAATTTTCATTGTAAACTAAATGTAGAGCTGTTAGGTCTGTTTTATAGGGAGGGAACCTAAGGCTTAGAGCTTAAAAAATTGGTAGAGGTCATAGTGATGTAACATAAGGTTATATAGTTCTATTTAGGTTTGCTTGATTGCTGGGACAAAACCTAAAACTACTAGGACAAGCTTGAAAGGTGACTTCAGAATAAGGACCCCGTGTGAAAGGTGGGGTCCTGTGGGGAACCATCTTCTACCACTGAAGTACACTCCCAGCCCAGCAAGTTGATTGTCGCTCTCTTGACTTTAGGTGACGTGACAATGGATGTCGTGTTAGCTAAGTTGAAACTCCTGGATCCAGATGACCTTAGAGAAGAAATTGTCAAAGCTGGCTTGAATTGTGGACCCATTACATCAACCACAAGGTTCATTTTTGAGAAGAAATTGGCTCGGGCTTTACTAGAACAAGGTGGAACCTTGCCTCTGTGTCTTCCCAACCCCAGTGAAGCAGCGCCTCCAGCATCCAGGCAGAGTGGACCACAGGTCCCCACTTGTGCCAGAGCAGAACAGACCAGGTTTTCCGAAGACAGAGATTTTGGTTACAGTGTGGGCTTGAACCCTCCAGAGGAAGAAGTTATGCCATCTAAGCCCTGTTTGTTGCCCTTCAGCCCCTCAGTGGAAATTGACGCCCACAAGACTGGAGTGACAGCATCTAAGGAGCGAGCCCTATACTATGGAGTGTGCCCGGGGAACGAGGATGGTCCTATGAGAAGTGGTAATGTGCTCACTCCCTAAGCTTAACTGTTCGTGACATTGGTTACCTTCCTAAATGTTTTATAAATCTAAGGAAGAAGTTTTAATATTTGTTAAGGAAACTGGATACTTAAAATGCATGACTTAAAAATACTGATTATTTACTATTTGGAGGCTGTGTGTGTGTGTGTGTGTGTGTGTGTGTGTGTGTGTGTGTGTGTGTGTGCGTGCGTGCGTGTGTGCGCGCGCGCTCACGTGCACATGGGCACCGGTCCTGAGGCTTGAACGCAGGGCCTACACTCTGTTCCTGAGTTTTTTTGCTTACGGCTAGTGCTCTACCACTCGAACCAGCTTGACTTCTGGCTTTTTTGGTGACTAATTGGAGATGAGTTTCACAGATTTTCCTGCCTAGGCTGGCTTTGATCTGCAGTCCTCAGATCCTTAGTGCCTGGCTTGTTAGCAACTTTGATTAATCATCTTCTACCTTGTTAAATTTTAAAAATTAAAAAACTTTAACCTGAATGTCTTAGATTAATGATTACAGATGACCAGTGAGTGTAAAAATAAAGTTATCAGCACCAAAGAATGATGATTTTACACAAAACTTAGCATTGGAAACCATAATGGAAACTTGATGTCGATTGGAATATCAGCCAGGTGCCAATAGCTCACACCTGTAATCATAGCTACTTGGAAGGCTGAGATCTGGTTCAAAGCCAACTGCAGCAGGAAAGTCTGTGATGCTCTTCAACTAACCACAAAAAGCCAAAAGTAGAGCTGTGGCTCAAGTGGTAGAATACTATCCTTGAGTGCAAAAGTTCAGAGACAGCACCCAGGCCCAGATTTCAAGCCCCAGGACTGGAAAAAAAAATAAATTGCATGCTGTTACTATGCTTGTGCTCGTATTTGTGGTAATGCTTGAGAATGGGAGATTGGTTAAAAATACCCTGCACATTGAATGAAGTGGAGTACAGTTGCATGTTTTGATTTTGTTTTTTGCCATGCTAAGGATATAGCCCAGGCACTCGAGTAGTAGACAAGCACCTGCCACCAAGCTGCATCCATCCCTGGTTCAACCATCTGATCTTTTCAGTGAAGAGTCAGTGATGTTGGGAAGTGGCCGTGATGGGGTTTTTAGTCTTTATTGCTATAGAAGTAGCTTGTTGTAGAAAACCCTCAGTTAAGCCAGGTGCTATGGCTCACACCTGTCGTCTCAGGAAATGGAGAGTGAGAAGATAGCCAGTCAAGGCAAGCCTGGGCTGAAGGTTGGCAAGATCCCATCTTAACCAATAAAGCTAGGCGTGGTGGGTGCACCTGCCGTCTCTACTACGTAGGTAGGTATAGGTAGGTAGCCCCAGGTGAATATGTGAGATCCTACCGAAAAGTGACCTTAAAGAAAACAAGGCTGGAGGCATGGCTTAAGTGGCACAATATAGAGCCCTTAGTTCAAACCCTAGTACTCCCCAAGATAAAAAAATCTTTATTGTAGTATAATACAAAAAGTACATATAGCATATATGAAAAAAACTATTACTTGTGAGATGTAACCACTTCCTGCATCACACCTGACCCCTGTTTATAGATTTTATATTTTTAAACATTTTTATTTCTAATTTGTGTGTGTGTGTGTGTGCGTGCGCACGCGCACGCACACACACACGTGCACAGGGCTTGAACTCTGGGACTGGGTGCTGTCCCTCAGCTCTTCAGCTCAAGGCTAGTGCTCTACCACTTGAGCCACAGCGCCACTGCCGACTATCTGGTTATGTGATGCTAAGGAATCGAACCCAGGGCCTTTTGCATGCAAGGCAAGCACTGTACCACTAAGCCACCTTCCCAGCCTCTCTAATCTACTTTAATAAATATGTTTTAACTTAAGTGTACAGACAAATATATGAATGAATACTGTTTTTATTTTTATTTTATTTTTGGTGAGCTCCTAAGGCTTGACTCAGGGCCTGGGCATTGTCCCTGAGCTTTTTTGCTCAAGAAGTACAGATCCAAGAAAGTGTCTAAAGTAGCTGTAAAACCAAAAATGTCACCCCTCTTTTTTTTTTTTGGGTCCGGTCGTGGGGCTTGAACTCTTCAGCTCAAGGCTAGCACTCTAACACTTGCGCCACAGTGCCATTTCTAGCTTCTTTCTTTTTGCTTATGTGGTGCATGCCTCAGGCATGCAAGGCAAGCGCTCTACCACTGAGCCACCTTCCCAGCCCAATGTCAACCCTCTTAAATATATTACAGTCTATGCAAATAGGGAGAGCTGGTGTCTCCTTTCTATTCAAGATCCTGTTACTCATCTCTAGTTTTTCTTTTGTTACTTTTCCTAATTAGAAAGGATCCATGTTTATGAGGACAAAAACGAAGCATTACAAGCTGTCAAAATGATTAAAGGGTCCCGATTTAAAGCTTTTCCAACCAGAGAAGATGCTGAGAAATTTGCTAGAGGAATTAGTGATTATTTCCCATCTCCAAGCAAAGCTGTGCCAACACTGTCTCCTGTGAAGATAGCTCCACTCTTCGGCAGTGTTGGGTTGAAAGGTAAACCATATTGTGGTTCATCGCTATCACTCACTCCAAAAATATCTTGACTCCTCTCTCCCAATGTATGGCAACTCCATTTCTCCTTCTGTGAGAGAAATCTGATGTGGCAGAAGGGAAAAGAGCTGAGGTCCTGGCAGTGAATAGCCCCAGGGAAAAGGAGCTAAGAGCTGGGCTAGGTAGGTTTAGGGATACAATTGTAGGTTCAGAGAAGATTCTGGGAGAGGCTGAGTGGGCCTGAAGCCATTTGGCCTCTGAGTTGGCCTCTGACTTAATATGTCATGAGGACCGTGGAAAAATGGGAAAAGATACTGTTGTCCGTTTCTGTCTGACTCCTGTCACTCTTCCTGCTTCCAGCTAGATTCAGGGTACTACTAAGGCTGAGATCAATATGCATTCCCATCTGAAAAATCTATGAGTTGGCCTCCTCTGGTGGAACCAGAAATCTCACTGCATCTGCTTCTCAACTCAGCCAGGGTCCTGTTGGAGGAGCTTGACCTTGGTTCTAGTTCCCTCCCACACAATGATATAGGCTTCGCAAGTTTAGAGAAAAGGGGCCCTGACCTGGGCAGCTGGCCCTTGTCCAAAGGCTTGTTTGCCTCTTTCTCTTGTTCCCTTACTTAACCTTACATGGTCTCCCTCGGGTTGAGAAAGTTCCCCTGAAGGAAATCAAGTTAAATCATACTTAGGCATTGTGATTAGACCCATGAAACATTTGGAGCAGTTCCCACTCTGCATGAATACTTACATGTTGGAGAATTCCTGTGATAGCTTCTGACTTTTCCTTCACCCAGTTTTTTGTTTTTTTTTTTTGTCGGTGGTGGGGCTTGAACTCTGGGCCTGGGTGTTGTCCCTCAGCTCTTCAGCTCAAGGCGAGCGCTCTACCACTTGAGCTACAGCGCCACTTCCGGTTTTCTGGTGGTTTATTGGAGATAGGAGTCTCACGGTCTCTCCTGCCCGGGCTGGCTTTGAACCGCGATCCTCAGATCTCAGCCTCCTGAGTAGCTAGGATTACAGGCGTGAGCCACCAGCGCCCGGCTTCCTTCACCCAGTTTTGTAACAGATCCTACAAGTGTGCCAAATAATGTCTTGTTCTCAGAGGCTTTTGGCCATCTGATTCCATTCAGCAATGCCCTTTACCATCTTTGCCTCTTACCTGTTCTCAAGACCTACTGAGCCTCTGTTGGAAGGCTGTAGCCCTTAGCACAGCAGAGTAGGTAAGAAGAAGCTATGAAATTGAGTATTCCTTAATTGTATCTCTTCACGACAGATGGATTATGCTTATCTGAATTGGAAACAGTAAACAAAGAGCGAGCAAACAGTTACAAAAATCCTCGAACACAGGACCTCACGGCCAAGCTAAGGAAAGCTGTAGAGAAGGGTGAGGAGGACACCTTTTTGGATCTTATCTGGAGTAACCCCCGGTATCTAATTGGTTCCGGGGACAACCCAACCATTGTACAGGTAAGTCTGCCTTCAGCATTATTTGTGCCATGTGGGTCACTGTACTTATTATAAAAAGACTTTGACAAAAATTCAGCTCGGAACACATGGTATTTCAGGAAGGATGTAGGTACAATGTCATGCATGTTGCTGCCAGAGAGAATCGGGCTTCCCTGTGTCAGCTGACGTTAGAGACTCTGGAGAACCCTGTGTTTATGCGGCTCATGTACCCAGATGATGACCCAGGCATGCTTCAGAAGCGTATCCACTACATTGTTGACCTATACTTGAACACTCCCGACAAAGTGGTGAGTATTTCCTCTTGAATCTCTCAGTTCAAGTGTGTGTTCCCAACATGTATGTTCTTTTATTCATTGATACTCCAGGTCATCATGCAAGGGATGTAAGAGATGTGGGAGGTTCAGAGAACTAAAAATAGACCTACTCTATGACACCGTGCTACCAATTTTGGGCCCATATACAGAGGGATGTAAATTATTATACCTTCATGCCCTTGCTTAAGGCAGTATTCTTCATAATAGCCAAACAGTGGAATCAGCCAACCTACCCAACAACAAATGAATGGAAAAAGAAAATATTGTACATTTATTTTTTCTAATTTTTTATTTTTTTGTCGGTTGTGGGGCCTGAGCTTTGGGCTTGGGTGCTGTCCCTGAGCTCTTCAGCTTAAGACTAGTGCTCTACCACGAGCCACAGCACCACTTCCAGCTTTTTCTGATTATGTGTTGCTGAGGAATCAAATGCCGGGCCTCAGGCATGCAAGGCAAACACTCTACCACTGAGCCACCCTCCCAGCCCCAAATTGTACATTTATTACCACAGAATATTATATAGCCGTAAAGAAAAAGATGAAGTCTTTTTTTTTTTGGTAGTAAAATGGATTGGAGAATAGCATACTGAGTGAGATAAGCCAAGTTCAAAAGGTCAAATATCCTATTGTCACATATATGTGAATATTAGACCGAAAAGACATAGACATTCATGGACATAAACATATGTGTATATACCCGTATATATAAATATGTGTGCGTGCCTGGTGCCAGTGGCTAACGCCTGCAATCCTAGCTACTCAGGAGGCTGTGATCTGAGGATTACAGTTCAAAGCCAGCCAGGGGAAGGGGAAGGAAAGTCTGTGAGACTTTATCTCCAATAAAACCACCAGAAAAGCCGGGCGGTGGCTCCATGCCTGTAATCCTAGCTGCTCTGGAGGCTGAGATCTGAGGATCTGGGTTCAAAGCCCCTGGGCAGGAAAGTTCGAGAGACTCTTATCTCCATTAAACCACCAGAAAACCAAAAGTGGTGCTGTAGCTCCAGTGGTAGAGCGCTCACCTTGAGCTGAAGAGTGCAGGGACAGTGCCTAAGCCCAGAGTTCAAGCCCCACAACCAAAAAAAAAAAAGAAAACCACCAAAAAACTGGAAGTGGCACTGTGGCTCAAGTGGTAGAGTGCTTGCCTAGCATGCTTGAAGCCATGGATTCGATCCCTCCATACTACATAAATAGAAAAGGCCAGAAGTGGAGCTGTGGCTCAAATGGTAGAATTCTAACCTTGAACAAAAGCAGCTCAGGGACAGTGCCCAGAGAAAGAATTCTTCTGAGCAAAATACATATGCACTGTATCACTTGAACCACAGCTCTACAGCTCTGCCTCTTGCTTTTTTTTTTGGTGGTTAAGTGGAGTGATGAGGCTATGTTATAATATAGTGTGTGGAAATGTCATAATGACATCCTCCTTATGCAACCAATTTATGGTAATTTTTTTGTGCCTGTCCTGGGGCTTGAACTCAGGGCCTAGACAAGGTCCCTTAGCTTTTTGCTCAAGGCTAGCACTCTATCACTTGAGCCACAGCTCTACTTTTGACTTTTTTATTTTTTTGACAGTTATGGGGCTTGAACTCAGCCTGGACACTGTACTTTTGACTTATTTTGATGGGTAATTGGTGATGAGCCGGACTTTCTTACCCCATAGCTCATTTCTTTTTTAACGTTGAATGGAAAAAGACTTAATCCTTTCTCTGAGTGAAGTGTGCCCTTCCTAAATTTAAAGAAGAATATTGGCTATATCAAGTTGACCCGCAAGTCTTTCTCATCCAGACCTTGCTGCTCCTCTTAGAGAGGCCTTCCCTGACCCATCGAGACAAAAACCTGTGATCCTAGCTGCTCAAGAGACTGAAATCTGAGGATCAAGGCCCAAAAGACCCTAAGACACTATCTCCAATTAGCCCAGAAGGATGGACGGGATTGGACGTGTGGCTCAATTGGTGGAGCATTGGTTGTGAACAAGAAAGCTGAGGGAGAGCATGAGACCTCGAGTTCAAGTCCAGACACTGAGGAAAAAGAAAGGAGACAGAAAACAGGCTCTTGGCTGTCATGGATCCAGGATCTCCTTCTTTTTTCTCTCTCTCTCTAGTCCCAGAGCTTGAACTCAGGTCCAGGGCACTGTCCCTGAGCTGCTTTTGCTCACGGCTAGCGCTCTACCACTTGAGCCACAGCATCACTTCTGGCCTTTTCTGTGTATGTGGTACAGAGGAATCGAACCCAGGGCTTCATGCATGCTAGGCAAGCACTCTACCACTGAGCCACCTTCCAAGCCCAGGATCTCCATCTTTGTGTTCATCCTGAGCATGTTTGTAGATCCAGGCACAAGCATGCCCTTGTCCCTCCAATGTTGCTGTGTAGATGACCTGTATCTCTGCCCAGTTGAGGGTGTCATTGTGTGTCTAGTCATGGCAGAGACCCAGGAAAGGGTCAGACCCAGAGATGAGCTGGCAGGAGCCTTCTGTAGGCCATTTCTCTTCCAGATTACAGAGCTGTAAGAGATTCCAGTGAACTCTTAGGATTGTTAGGGAAGTAATAGAGCTCAGACAATTGCCAGATAAGATCAACTTAAAGTTGATGTGGCTCAAGTGGTAGAGTGCTAGCCTGGAGCAAAAGAAGCTCAGGGACAGTGTCCATGGACTGAGTTCCAGCCCCTAGACTGGCTAAAAAATAAATAAATCTTTTGCTGTCACTAGAAAACTCTTGGTTTCCTAAGATTAATAATGGTGCTAACTAATACCCAAATGGGCCTCGGTGAGGAGAATGTCCATTCCTCCCTCGGACCTCCCTCCCCTCAAGCGACACTGCTCCAGTGCCTGCCACGCCCACCCTGAGCACACTGTGCAATCTTTCTGCAAAAGGAGATGGAATCCTGCAATTTAGCAGTATCATATGATCTTTCTGTTTAGAGGCCTTTTTATTTGTTCTGCTTAATAGTGATTTTTCACCTTAGAGCAACCACTTCACAAAGTTGAATAAACAATTGTGCTTTTACACCTTTTTCAGGGCTATGATACCCCATTGCATTTTGCTTGTAAATTTGGAAATGTTGATGTGGTCAGTGTGCTTTCTTCACATCCCTTGATTGCAAAAAACCCAAGGAATAAATATGATAAAACACCTGAAGATGTAAGTAGTTATTTAACTGCAGTTAGTATCTATTGTAAATGAAAATATGTAAGTTTGCAGTCTATGCGCACAGCCATGGTGAGGTCACCATTAACTCAGGATGAGTTATATTTGCTTTCAGGCATATTTAGATTCCTGTCTGTTTAGAACCATGACAGAATGAGTTGACCTGGTCTGCTAGTTGTTTAATGTTTTTATTGGTGGGGCTTGAACTTGGGGCCTGAGCACTGTCCCTGAGCTCTTTCTGCTCGAGGCTAGCACACTACCACCTTGAGCTACAGTGGTACTTCCACAGTCTGCCAGTTTTCTTTTTGTTATTGTTGTTGTTGGTCATGGGGCCTAAACTCTGGGCCTGGGCACTGTCCCTCAGCTCTTCAGCTCAAGGCTAGTGCTCTACCACTTGAGCCACAGTGCCACTTCCAGCCTTTTCTGTTTGTTTATGTGGTGCTGAGGAATCAAAACCAGGGCCTCATGCATGTGAGGCAAGTACTCTACCAATGAGCCACCTTCCCAGCCCCATCTTTACCAGTTGAACAAAATGTGGTGTGCTAAATCTTGTGCTTATAAACTAGGAAAAAAGACCGCTGAGAACACTATACTATTAGTATACCAACCAGTAGTAAAAATGAAACCCAGGTCTGGGAATGTAGCTTAGTGGTACAGCACTTGCCTAACATACATGAAGCCCTGGGTCCGATTCCTCAGCACCACATACACAGAATAAGCTCCTAAAGTGGCACTGGCTCAAGTGGTAAAGTGCCATCCTTGAGCGAAAGAAGCTCAGGGACAGTGCCCCAGGCCCTGAGTTCAAGCCCCAGATCTGGCAAAACAACAACAACAAAAATGCATCCTAGCTATTTAGGAGGCTAAGATCTGAAGATTGCGGTTTGAAGCCAGCCTTCATGAAAAGTCCCCATGAGACTCCAGTTAACTACTTAAAAACTGGAAATGGAGCAGAAGAGCTCAGGATAGCACCTTGGCTCCAAGTTCAAGCCCCACAGCTGACTGAAAATAAATACAATTCACTAACAATTCTACAACTGTGAAATTACCATTATTTACCACATATATGACTAAACTCGGTGTATGGGTTTGTCTACTTGTTCAATGAAAAATGTTATTTGGGGAAAAAGAGATTATTAGATCACACCTGTAATTCTAGCTTCTCAGGAGGCAGAGACCTGAGGGTCACAGTTCAAGCCAACCTGGGTAGGAAAGTCTATGAGACTTTTATCTCCAATTTATGAGTACAGATCTGGAGTGGAACTGCCTCAAGTGGTATTAGCATCACCCTTGAGGGGAAAAAAAAAGCTAAGGAATAGCTCCCAGATTCAGAGTTAAAGCTGTAGTATCAGCACAATAAAACAAAAGTAAAAGAATTCACTTTCTCCCTCTCTCCTTTCCCTGTCGCCCTCCTTCTTCTGGCCGCCTTCTGGCCCTCTCCCCTTCTACCCTCTCTCCCTTTACTGCTAGGGATTGAAGCCAGAGCTTTACTTATGATAGGCAAGCAGTCTACCACTGCTCGCTACACCCTCTGACGTTTTTTAAGCATTTGACTTTCTCACAACTGACTTTAAAATCTATAGTTTGCATTCAAAATTGTATTTCTCCCATAGCTAGTAATTTTGTATTTTGCGTCTTTTCTTTCCTTTGAAGGATATTTTCCTTTTGTTACAAAAATGTTTTGTCTGTTCATTCTTTGAACTCAGGGTCCTCAATCCTGCTCAGCTTTCTTTCTCACAGCTGATACTCTACCACTTGAGCCAAGCCTCCAATCCAGCATTTGGCTGGTTAGAAGTAGAATCGCTCTGATTTTTCTTCCTGGGCTACCTTTGAGCCTCAGTCCTTCAGGTCTTATCATCCTGAGTAGCAAGGATTATGGGCATGAGCAACACCTGCTTGGCTTAACAAAAATACTTGTATTGCTAACAATTTTATAAGGGCTCAGAAAAAGTTGTTGAAAACTATTACTTTTATTTCACATGAGGTAGTAGCTCTAGCTCTATCTCAACCCAAGTCTACCACAACAAAAATTTATATATGGAGGATGAGCTTCCAGGAAGCGCATCTCTTTCAGCTGAGAAAACTATGCTTATGTCCCCACGCTCACACTAGATGGTGAAATTTTAAGGAAATTTAAGGAAAACTACCTGTTCCTTTCCTGGTCTGTTCTCCTACCCTGTTCCCTTAAACCAACCTTCCTTCCTTCCCCCCTTCCTCCCTTTTGTGAGCTTTATGAAATCGTTAGCATTAAGGCACCAACTTATTTTAAAGGTCATCTATTTTTTCTTTTCTTTTTTTTCTTTTTTTTTTGCCAGTCCTGGGGCTTGAACTCAGGGCCTGGGCACTGCCCCTGAGCTACTTTTGCTCAAGGCTAGCACTCTACCACTTGAGCCACAGCGCCACTTCCCGCTTTTTCTGTGTATGTGGTACTGATGAACTCAGGGCTTCATGCATGCTAGGCCAGCACTCTACCACTAAGCCACATTCCCAACCCCCAAAGGCCATTTTATTGATAATTGAAATATTACAGTTTACAATGTTCACTTATTCTGTTTTGCTTAACTAGGTCATCTGTGAAAGAAGCAAAAACCAGCCTGTTGAACTGAAAGAGAAGATTAGAGAATATTTAAAAGGTGAGTTGGTGCCTGATTTATCTGTGGAATTTCACACCATCCTAACAGAAAAATGCCTTCTATTAGCATTTTTTTTTTCTTTTTCTTTTTGTCAGTAGTGGCTTGAACTCAGGCCCTGGGTGCTGTCCCTGGGCTCTTTTTGCTCAAGGCTAGGACTTTGAGCCACAGCTCCACTTCAGGTTTTCTGGTGGTTGATTGGAGATAAGAGTCTCTTGGCTGGCTTTGAAAGGAGATCCTCAGATCTCAGCCTCCTGAGTCGCTAGGATTGCAGGCAGTAGTGCTACACGGCACCTAGCAGCAATTCTGTGTTACCCTGATAAGGCCCATCCTGTTTGTGACTGTAAAACTTGGCCATCCCTAAGATCTAGAAAGTGATACTTGTTATCCTTAAGTAGTAGTATAAAGGGATTTCAAGTGCTGGAGGTGTGGCTCAGCATCTAAGAGCACCTGCTTAGCAACCAAAAGATCCTGAGTTCATATCCCAGTCTGAAAAAAACAAAGGGATTTCACTTCATCGTTTTAGTTTGTAAGTACACTGTATCTTTTTTTTTTTTAATTTTATTTTAGTACACTGTATCTTGACCAGTGTCACCTCTTTCATCATCATCCTCCATCTCTCCCAACCACACCCATCCCCTCAATTTACCTAGTTCCATTTACACACACACACACTCTGAATATTATGACTGTATTCCCCCACCCTTGGTCTCTTCACTTGTCTACTCCACATGGTACTTCTGCCCTACAGAATCCTGTGTATCTTTCATACTCTTTTTGCTAAAGGTCCTATAGGAAGCCATGGTTTGAGTCACCTTCAGTATTTTTTTTTTTTGTGGGGGGGGGGGGGAAGGAGGGTTGTGGGGTTTGAACTTGGCCTGGGCACTGTCCCTCAGCTCTTCAACTCAAGGCTAGAGCTCTACCACTTGAGCCACAGCGCCACTTCTACCTTTTTCTGTTTATGTGGTGCTGAGGAATCGAACCCAGGGCCTCATGCATACAAGGCAAAGCACTCTACCACTGAGCCACCTTCCCAGCCCAGCTGCAGTGTTCTGTTGGCTCAGCATTTCTCAGTTGGGTTCTAGTCTTAGACATCAGAGAACATGCTGTAGCACTGCTCATACCGCTGCATACTGCCTGCACCTAGCAGACCAGAAACATGCCTACAGTATTAGAGAAAATAAAATATTTTTTGTTTTTTTTTGGTCAGTTGTAGGGCTTGAACTCTAGGCCTGGGCATGCTGTCCCTGAGCTTATCAGCTCAAGAAGAGCACTCTACTACTTGAACCACAGTGCCACTTCTGGTTTTCTGGTGGTTAATTGGAGATAAGAGTCTCATGGACTTTTCTGCTGGGGCGGGCTTTGAACCATGATCCACAGATCTCAGCTTCCTGAGTGTGTGTGTGTGTGTGTGTGTGTGTGTGTGTGTGTGTGTGGTTTTGGGGGGGGGATTTGTTTTTTTGTTTTTTTTTTTAAATTTTATTTTATTTTATTTGAGAACATACTGTACAGAGGGGTTACAATTACATGGGCAGGATAATGCATACATTTCTTACCAAGCATTGCAGCCTCCTCCTTTGTTTACCCTTCACCTCCCTTCCCAGCCTCCCCCCCTCCCCCCCACCCATGTTTTTTTATTTTTTTTTTGTTTTTTGTTTTTGTCGGTCATGGGGCTTGAACTCTGGGCCTGGATGCTGTCCTTCAGCTCAAGGCGACTGCTCTACCACTTCTAGCTACAGCGCCACTTCTGGTTTTCTGGTGGTTTATTGAAGATAGGAGTCTCACAGTCTTTCCTGCCTGGGCTGGCTTTGAACTGTGATCCTCAGATCTCAGCCTCCTGAGTAGGTAGTATTACAGGTGTTAGCCACCAGTGCCTGGCTAAAATATATTTTTCAAAAGCCAGACATTGGGTTGAGATGTAGCTTAGTAGCAAAGCACTTGCTTAGCAAGGGCAATGTCCTGGGTTCAATTTCCATTGCCAAAAAAAACCTAAAGTCTATTTTGTAGGGGAATTAGTGGCTCATGCCTGTAGTCCTAGCTACTCAGGAGGCTGAGCTGATGATCAAGTTCACAGCCAGCCTAAAAAGGAAAGTTCTTGAGATTCTTACCTCCAATTAACCATCAGAAAACCAGAAGTTGCACTGTGGCTCAAAGTGGTAGAATACTAGCATTAAGCAAAAGAGCTCAGGGACACTGCCTAGGCCCTGAGTTGAAGAGCCAAAACTGACAATAAAATAAATAAAAAGCCAGGCATAAGACCACATCAGGAGGGCTGGAGTTATGGTTCAAGTGGTAGCATCTGCCTAGCAAGTGCAAAGCCCAGTTCTGAAGAAAAAACCCAAAACACCAAGGGAACAAAGATCCGATTTTGTAGCTTCATACACCCCAGCCCTTTAGGTATCGGTTTCTAAGAGCTCTGAGTGTAGTTTAGTGGTAGAGCCTGTGTTTAGCATATTTTAGCATAAACAGTGCCTTGAGTTCAATCCTCAGCAACCAAAATAAAACAAAATTTAAACCACAAAAGTTTTTCAAAGAGTTCTTACCCACATTCCCTGTGTGAAACAGGAATGTTTCCTCCTTTTGTTCTTTTCATTTCTCCCTACTTTTTTCTGATATACTAAAATAAATCCTTAATTGGCATCAGTGCCTCATGCCTGTAATCCTAGCTAGTCAGGAGGCTGAGATCTGAGGTTTGTGGTGCAAAGCCAGCCAGGGCTGGAAAGTCCATGAGATTCTTACCTCCAATTAACCACCAGAAACTGGAAGTGGAGCTGTGGCTCAAAGTGATAGAGCTCTAGCGTTTGAGGAAAAAGAAAAAAGAAGCTCAAGGACAGTGCTCAGCCCTGAGTTCAAGCCCCATGACTGACAAAACTTTTCTTAAAGGACTTGAATATGTCAAAAAAGTAAATGTGGATAAGTAATTGTTGGTTAAATTTGTCATGCAGTTTAAAAATATGCATATGAATATCACTAAAGAATCAACTACCTGTAATATTTTTTCCATATGTGTGCTATATCCCAGTTAGACACTGACATGTGAAATGTAGTAACCTAGTTACAGTTTTCAGTAAACACTACAATGAACATAGAATAGAAAAATGAAAGTTAGGGCTGGGAAGGTGGCCCAGTGGTAGAGCACTTGCCTTGCATGCCTGAGGCCCTGGGTTCGATTCCTCAGCACCACATAAGCAAAAAGAAAAAAGCTGGAAGTGGCGCTGTGGCTCAAGTGGTAGAGCGCTAGCCTTGAGCTGAAGAGCCTGAGGGACAGCGCCCAGGCCCAGAGTTCAGGCCCCTCAATGGACCCAAAAAAACAACAACAACAAAAAGAAAAATGAAAGTTAAACTATTATACGCTGGGCACTGATGCCTCATACCTATAACCCCAGTTACTCAGGAGACAGATCTGAAGATCCCATTTCAAAGCCAGCCCAGGCAGTAAAGTCCACGAGCCTTATATCCTCAATTAACCATCAAAAAGCTGGAAGTAGAGCTGTGGCTCAAGTGGTAGAGTACTGGCCTTGATCAGTAAAAATTCAGAGACAGAGCCCAGGTCCTGAGTTCAAACCCCAAGACTGGCACACAGGAAAAATTATAAGCATTTAAGATTTAAAAATTTCAGGCACCTGGAGTTAGCATGAAAAGCCAGTATTCCAGCAAGCCTTTCCTTCAGGAGCTGAACCTGAAAAGCCATCTTCCACAGGAGTGGAGAACTGAGGCGGAGGGAAATGTGACCTCATTGTAACTCTTTAAGTTCTTGCTATTGATAATTTTAGCCTTTATCTTCTGAGCCCCAACTTCCTAGAGTATCTGATGCTCTCCTTCCTTTCCTTGAGGAAGTGAGGCTCACTAAAAACGTATCCCACAGCCGGGCACTGGTGGCTCACGCCTGTAATCCTAGCTACTCAGGAGGCTGAGATCTGAGGATCGAGGTTCAAAGCCAGCCCGGGCAGGAGAGACCGTGAGACTCCTATCTCCAATAAACCACCAGAAAACCGGAAGTGGCGCTGTAGCTCAAGTGGTAGAGTGCTAGCCTTGAGCTGAAGAGCTGAGGGACAGCGCCCAGGCCCAGAGTTCAAGCCCCACAACCGACAAAAAAAAAAAAAGTATCCCAAATTAAACTGGCCTTTGCTGTGGTCTTTGCCCCAGAGTTTAACTGACCACCTGGTTCCTTACACCATTATTTTTACCACTGTTCACCCAACCCTCACTTATTCTACGTGATCAGGTGCCTGTGTTCACGTGTCTCCTCCCTCAGGTCACTACTATGTGCCACTTCTAAGAGCAGAAGACACTTCCTCGCCTGTCATTGGGGAGCTATGGTCCTCAGACCAGACAGCTGAAGCCTCACAGGCCAGCTACTGTAGAGCTGGCCCCAAGGACTCTATGCTGACTTTGAGGGCATTTGTTGGACCCCTGAGTCCATCCAAGGTAAGCTGTTGGGTAAGGAGTCTTCTGGAATCTCAGTGCTGGGGGCTGTATCCTGTTATTTTGAGCTTGGTATTATAAACTAGCTTTTTTTTTTTTTTGCTATTGACTCTGGGTCTTGAACTCAGGGCTTGGGCACTGTCACTGAGCCTCTTTGCTCAAGGCTGTAGCTCCATTTCTGGCTTTTTGTTAATTAATTGGAGATAAGAGTCTTATGGGCTGGATCTGTGGCTCAAGTGGTAGAGCACTAGCCTTGAGCACAAAAAGCTCAGGAACAGCACTTAGGCCCTGAGTTCAAGCTCCAGGACTGACACAAACAAAAAAAAGAGTCTCATGGACTTCCATTTTCTGGGCTGACTTTGATTCACAGTCCTCAGATCTCAGCCTCCTAAGTAGTTAGGATTACAGGGGAAAAAAGCTACTGGCTCCCAGGATAAACCAACTTTTATGGAGCACAAAGGTCATTCTTGTCTGAAACCACCTGCTATGAGGTAGTAACAAAGATTTGGAATGTTTGCTGCGTCACTAACTCATTAGCCTGAGTGCATGTAGTGGGAGTCCACACATCTTAACAGACTGGGATTTATCTGGGCCAGCCCCTCCAGTTTGTCTCATTCTTCCTGTCCCTCCTTTCCCCCTGCCAGTCTAACATGTGATTGAGATAACTCTTGTTTGTAAGCTTACCTTCCAAATGGAATTTTCCCACACTTGCAATTCCCAATACTTCCTCTCAAATTTGTCAGAGCTCTTGGCATCATCTCTTTTTCCTACAACCTGTTTATATCCAGGCTGCAGCCATTTACATCGAGAGTTTAGTAACTGTAATGATGAGGTTACTGGGCCAGACATTGTGCATGTTTTATGTCAGATTTACAATTGACAGTTCTTTCTCAATGGCATTTATGAAATCTTGATTTAAAAAGAAAAAAAAAGGATATTAGCTCATACCTGTAATCTCAGCTAGTTTGGAGGCAGAGACCTATATGGTCATGGTTGGAAGCCAGCTCCAGCAAATAGTGAGACCATCTTGACTAAAAAGAAGGGCATAGTATACCCCTGTACTCCCAGCTATGCTAGGCATATGTAGGATGATCACATTTCAGGCTGGCCTAGGCAAAAAAACATGACAACATGTCTGAAAAATAGAAGAAAAGTCCTGGAAGTGTGTGGCTTAAGTCATGGAAGATGAAGCCTTGAGTTAAAATCCCAGCACTGCTTTCAAGACCAGAATCAAACAACCTGACAGTGCCAGTGGCTCATACCTATAACACTAGCTACTCAGGAAGCTGAGATCTGAGGATCACAGTTCAAAGCCAATCCAGGAAGGAAAGTCCAAGACTCTCTGATTACCAAAAAGCTGGAAGTATAGCTTTGACTCAAATGGTAGAGTTTTCCAGGCATGATGGGGCACATCTGTCATCGGGAGCCTGGGATAGGGAGATCATTATGATACTCATTCCTAAGCTTTTGCACCTGTAATTCCAGCCATTTGGGAGGCTGAGACCAGCAAGATCATTGTTTGAGAACAGGCTAGGCAGAAAAGTTTAGGAGAGCCCTCTGAACTGTAGCTGAGCAGACACTGCACAGCTGTCATCCCAGCCTGGACAAGCCTAAAGTAGAGGGAGCATGCACCAGCATGGGGATTGAGACCCTGTCTCAAAAATGACCAATGCAAAAATGTGTTGAGGGCTTGGCTTAGCAGTAGAATACTTGCCCACCAAATAAAAAAGCAAAACACACAAAAATTAAAAATAACTGGCTTTCTAAATAGTTACTTACAACTATAAAAATGTCTCCAGTGCCAAGCACTGGTGGCTCACGCCTATGATCCTAGCTACTCAAGAGGTTGAGATCTGAGATTGCAGTTTGAAGCTAGCCCAGGCAGAAAAGTCCATGAGAGGGGCTGGGAAGGTGGCTCAGTGGTAGAGCGCTTGCCTTGCATGCCTGAGGCCCTGGGTTCGATTCCTCAGCACCACATAAGCAAAAAGAAAAAAGCTGGAAGTGGTGCTGTGGCTCAAGTGGTAGAGCGCTAGCCTTGAGCTGAAGAGCCTGAGGGACAGCGCCCAGGCCCAGAGTTCAGGCCCCACGACCGGACCCAAAAAAAAAAAAACACAAAGAAAAGTCCATGAGACACTTTATCTCCAAAAAACTACTCAGAAAAAGCTGGAAGGGGAGCTGTGGCTTAAGTGATAGAACACTAACCTTGAATAAAAGAAGCTCAAGGACAGAGCTCAGGGCTCTGAGTTCAAGCCCAGGACTGGCAAAAAAAAAGGATCTCCAAATTATATGTTTAAGATTAGATGAGCAGGGCGCTGGTGGCCTGTAATCCTAGCTACTCAGGAGGCTGAGATCTGAAGATCATGGTTCAAAGCCAGCCCAAGCAGGAAAATCCATGAGACTCTTCAATAAACCACTAGAGAACTGGAAGTGGCACTGTGGCTAAAGCAGTAGAGCACTTGCCTTGAAGAGTGCAGGGACAGCACCTAAGCCCAGAATTCAAGCCCCAGGAGACCAAAAAAAAAAAAAAGATTAGATGAAAGCTGGGGGTTGGTGGCTCACACCTGTAATCCTACCTACTCATGAGGCTGAGATCTGAGGCTCATGGTTCAAAGCCAGCCCCGGCAGGAAAGCTCATGAGACTCCTATCTCCAATAAACCATCAGAAAACCTGAAGTGGCCCAGAGTTCAAGCCTCATGACCAACCAAAAACAAAAAGATGAGCCAGGCGCCACCAGTGGCTTACTCCTAAAATTCTAGCAACTCTGGAGGCTTGAGATCCTCAGATCACAGTTGGAAGCCAGCCAGGTAGAAACGTCCTTGGGACACTTCAATAAACTACTCAGAAAAGGCCAGAAGCAGTGCTGTGGCTCAAGTGGTATAATGTTAGCCGTGAGCACAGAGAGCTTTAGGGACAACGCTCAGGCTCCCTAAGTTCAAATTCCAGGGCTGGCAAAAAAAAAAAAAAAAGATAAGGCCGGATACCTGTGGCTCCTGCCTGTAATGCTATCTACTCAGAAGGCTGAGATCTTAGGATCACAGTTTGAAGCTTGCCCAGGCAGGAAAATCTATGAGACTCTTATCTCCAGTTAATCACACACACACAAAGAAAGCCAGAAATAGAGCTGTGGCTCAAGTGGTAGAGCACTAACCTTGAGCATCATCTGTTTTCTGTGTTATGGGAAGCAGTGCATCTGTGCCTTTGGGAGCAAGTGGCTCGATGATGTCTTGCTGTCAAGTAAAGATTCATTCTGTCTTTCCTAGGCCAGATTTGATGTTCACAATTTAGAATAGTGAAGCAAAGAACCCCTTCCCCACTTCAAGCACAGTGCTGAGTTTGGTCATGCTGCCTCTCTTGGCTACAGAGCTTTGTGGTCTGTTAAAGTTGCAGGGAAACAGCCTTTGAGTCTGTGGTACTGATAGTTCTGAGACCCAGGTGAGCTACAACAAGGTACAACATAACCTGAAATTTTTCCTTTTTCTCCCAGGCTGAAGATTTTCGCAAACTCTGGAAAACTCCACCTCGAGAGAAAGCAGGCTTCTTCCACAGTGTCAGGAAGTCTGATGCAGAACGGGGCACTGAGAGAGTAGGGAGGTACTTATATGATGTGCTAAGAGCACATGGGCTTCAGTGCTGTGTAGTATGCAGTGTGGATGTGTATGGATGGATGATGAATTGACTAGCTACTTAAAGATACTGGTTCCGAGTGTTTACTGGGACATTTCAAGCCCCCCCCTTTTTTTTTTTTTCAAAATATGTGCCTAATTTGAGGTTTACAGTTTGACTTTGCCATAGACCCCTAGATTTTTATATGCCTGTCCAAAATGTACTGATAGGATTTCACTTTTGAGTAATGCGAGTGTATACTGGCTGAGGGCTCCCTTCTTGAGCAAATGTGGCTTGTTTCATCATAGAAAAGCTCTTCAGGGAACACCGCAGTCTTACCTGCTAGGGGATAGCTGGAAAACGCATGTTTAATTTTAACTTCAAATTTAGGATAAAATAAAATTACACCCAATATTGCAGATATCAGTTTTGACACTGTGAACATTAAGTGGCTGTTTTCTTTGGGTAATTTTTCTGTTTTCTCAACTGGTAATTGTTTTTTGTTTCTTACAGGGAGCTAGCTCATGAGCTGGGGTATCCCTGGGTTGAATACTGGGAATTTCTGGGCTGTTTTGTTGATCTGTCTTCCCAGGAGGGCCTGCAAAGACTAGAAGAATATCTTGCTCGTCAGGAAATGGGCAGAAAGGCTCAGCAAGAAACAAGAGAAAATGAAGCCTGCCATCAAGACAAAGCTTTCACTTCTGGTGAGCAAACATGAGCTGAGTTGACTATGTCTTTCTCTTCTTTGCCTCATGTGATTTTATTGTAAAAATGGGTAACTTTCCCAAGGTATGTGTCCACTCATCTCATGTGCATGTACTTGTAGATACAAAAAATACAGTGGCATGGCCATGGGTATTGCTGCTTCTGGCCTTAGGTCCTGGTCTAGAATTGAATATTTCATTTGGTGATGTTTTTCCAAAACTTCTAGGTGCAATATTTTAGGTCTAGTGTTTATCTAAGTGTACGGTTCATTGGATCATTGAATATCAGAAAAAGGAAGATAGGCTCCAAAATGCTTGCGTCTATTTTATCAGCCTTTAGGGCACAGACCATCTTGAGCACAAAAGCAATGATGGAATGATCAGGAAAGGTTAATCTGATTTTAAACACTTAAAAGTAACTAATAGCACCTTAGCAACATTAAAAAAGGAAACATTGGTCTGGGGTGTAACTCACTGACAGATTACATGCCTCAGCCTGAAAGACCTGGGTTTGGTAACTTGGCATTGAGGAAAGAAAAAAGGAAATATTGGGGCTGGGAAGGTGGCTCAGTGGTAGAGTGCTTGCCTTTCATGCATGAGGCCTTTGGTTCGATTCCTCAGCACCACATGAGCAGAAAAAGCAGGAAGTGGGGCTGAGGCTCAAGTGGTAGAGCACTAGTCTACAGCTGAAGAGCTGAGGGACAGTGCCCATGCCAAGAGTTCAGGCTCCACAATGGACAAAAAAGAAAAAAGAAAATATTAAAGTTCTTAAATATTACAAGAGAAAAGGAAAAATCATCCCCCCCTTCCCCCCCCCCCCCCCCCCCCACACACACACAAAGGCATCTCACCAGTAATAAGATATACGTGTCTAGGGGCTGGGAAAGTGGCTCAATGGTAGAGTACTTGCCTTGCATGCATGAGGCCCTGGGTTCGATTCCTCAGCACCACATAAGCAAAAAGAAAAAAAAGCCGGGAAGTGGCGCTGTGGCTCAAGTGATAGTAGAGCGCTAGCCTTGAGCTGAAGAGCTGAGGGACAGCGCCCAGGTCCAGAGTTCAGGCCCCACGAACAGACCAAAAAAAAAAAAAAAGATATACGTGTCTACAATGTAGTAAACTTCTACCACAATGAGGGTAGGAGTGGTACTCTGCCATCAAGATGTGGTAATGGTGGTATCCAGGCTCTGAGCAGTCTGCCTGGTCCAGAGTCTCTTGTGAGGAAAGAATTAGAGATGCCCAAGCACTGCCAAACATTAGAAAACTAATAGTTTATCCTCTGATAGTTGAGGATTGGCTGAATAAATGGTTCTGTCCTCATGCAGAATGAAAATTCATGCTTTCCCTGGGCACCGGTAGCTCATGGTGAACCTTAGCCACTCAAGAGGCTGAGATCTGAGGATCATTCAAAGCTAGCCCAGGCAAGAATGTCTGTGACACTCTTATCTCCAGTTAATGACCAGAAAACCAGAATTGGAACTGTGGCTCCAAGTGGTAGAGCACTAGCCTTGAGCAGAGAGCTTGGGCCCTGAGTTCAAACTGACCAAAAAAATAAATAAAAATAAAAATCATGCTTTCAGAGTGTAGGGTATGATATAAAAAAGGGCTTACAATTGTAATGAATGCTGTGCAGTAATGCATATAATTAGTGGGAGGGAAAACATACATGTAGATATTAGCATAATATTAATTTTTGAACAGTGGTGTAATTACAGCATACCATATTGGGACTATGCCTCAATTAAAATCTAGTGAATTGATAATAAATTGGAAAAAGTTGGGGGATAAAAAAGAGGAACCCATGGGCTGGGAAAGTGGCTCAATGGTAGAGCGCTTGCTGGGTTTGAGTCCTCAGCACCACATAAGCAAAAAGAAAAAAGCCGGAAGTGGTGCTGTGGCTCAAGTGGTAGAGTGCTAGCCTTGAGCTGAAGAGCTGAGGGACAGCGCCCAGGCCTACAGTTCAGGCCCCATGACCGGACCCCACCCCTTACACTTAGGGTCCTTAGGATTGGGCACTGTGCTCTGGAGGTTTCTCTTCGTTCTCTCCCTGGTCCTTTGCTTTCCCTCTGTACTACATTTCCCTGTAGAAGCTTCATGTTGCTGCTGGTACTGTGACCAATCATCTCTTGAGAGTTCTCTCACTTTAAAAGCTTTGGTCAGTGTCAGAAATAAAATGGAAGAAGTAAGCTCTGTTAAAATTAGGTCAGGTATAGTAATTCACATGTCATCCAAGCTACTCCAGAGGTAGAGATTGGGAGGGTCCCAGTTGGAGGCCAGCCCAGCAAGAAATTAGTGAGACCTCATCTTATTAGACTAAGTGTGTTGGCATGCATCTGTGGTCCAAAACTAAGTTTTCTGGAACAACAAAATGAAAGCGGGCCACATGCACATTAACTTGGAAAGACAGATTGTGAAAGTTGTCCCTGACTCTGTACAGTCAGAGCAGGCCCCAGGTGACATCCTGCTGCAGCTGATGTGGTACACACCTGAGTGTGATCCAATGGGTTGTGGAGGCCAGGTTTGGGCCAGGCTGGAAGTTGGAAGACTGGGAGGAGGCCACACCTGTTGTCCCCACAGAATGATGTGTTTAATTAGTTAATGTTGAATGAAGTGAGCACATTCATTCATGCCTCAGTTCCAGTGGCCACTGTTATGATAAAGACGGGCCTTCCCCTGGGTTTGGACAGCAAAGTGCTGCTCTCAAGTTCTGCTTATTCCACTTACAGAACAGGGTTCTTGAGATTATTTCCAGTGATCTTTATAGAGCTGGTCAGAGCTGGGGAGGGAGCCACCGAACTACAAGGATATCCTCTCCCCGTAGTCTTGGCCTGGCCTCAGTTTTCCTTATAATTCCTGAATTTGAGGGAGAAGGGACCAGATGTATTTCTGCTTGCAGTATTCTATTTGTCATTTCTTGCTTGGGTTATAGGGCTTACAGAACATTTAAGTGGGATGATCATTCTGGTTCTGACCTGCATACCTAATGTGCCTCTTCCATTGCCCTCCTAGGTAGTGCGAAGAAGCATAGCAATTCCATCTCTGTGGGGGCATTTCTAGATGAAGATGATGGCATGAGCTTAGAAGAAATGAAAAATCTGCAGAATACAGAGCGAAGTCAAAGCCAGCTCACAATTGATGCTTTTGGGAACTTGGAGTATGGTGCCCTTCCCCTGGGGCAGAAGGCAGACTGTGGAGAAGGCCCAGGTGGATACCACCATCCCCACTGTAGTGAAAATGGGGTAAGCCACTCTCTGAGTCAGAGAACCCCAACCTGGGGAAGACAAGAGCGCCCCTCTGGGGAGGCAGACCTTTTGCCACCTGTGTCTTCTTTGACTCTTCAGTTTGATAAACTGAACTTGAAAAATCCTTCTGAGACATCAAATGGAAACAGGAAAACTAAAGATAAGAAAGTCCTGACTTCAAGAAAAGATGCAGTAGAAGGTGCTTTGCCAGCAAGTCCCCTTGCTGCAGACAGACTGGGAAACAGCCAAGTCAGGACTGACCGGGAGATGCCAGCAGGAGCAGTGGAAATGTCCCAGGGTCCCAGTAGCCCTGGAGCCCAGGCTGCACGTGTGCCTGGATCCACTAGGAACTCCACTAGGAAGCTCTTCCTTTTTGGGTGAGTGATAGCCCTTCCACATGTGGCATTGCTTGTAGTTGACAGGTCCCCTCCCATCTTCTTCCTGAATGTGTAGCTTCTAGTACTCTACAGTGTTTTCTTTCAGCTCTGCGGTAGCTGATCCAGGGAAGGGAATACACCAGAATTCATTCTTCCTAATTAATTTATTTTAGGAGTTAACACATAATAATGGGGTTGATGGTGCTACTTGTGGGGGACCCAGCTAGTCTCCTGGAGACACTCTCCTTGCCTTTGTTGTGGAACACTGAGGGCAGTAGCTCTCTGCTCTGGCCCGGTACACTGGCTGTTGTCCCTCCAGCTGACACCTCTGAGATCCTAGTGTGTTTTAGTGGTTACTCAGTGAAATTGTCCCACATATTCTGTTCATTGGGTTCTTGACTTTAAAATGCAGTGGTGTTTTCCAAGTTGTTTTTTTTTTTTTCCAATCAGGTATTTGCTTTTTCCTAATCCTCCCACCCTGTATTCTAGTGACGAGCCATCAAAACTAGATCGGGATGTCTTGGCAGCGCTTGAGAGTGCAGATGTTGACCCTGGCCTGTATCCAGCTGTGCACAGGTGGAAGAGTGCAGTCCTGGGCTACTCACCCTCAGACAGACAGAGGTGACATGGGGCCCTAAGAACAGCACTTTGGGTTTGTGTATACAAGTTAGTCACAATCCCCTTGGTAAAGCTAATACTACATGGTCATTTGTGCACAGAAGCAGACCCTTCAGTAAGGTGGAAAATCAGACTAAGCTGAATCTTGACAGGCTGAAAAGGCTGGTGGCATACAGGATTTGTAGTCAGATTGTGACAGTTTCATATGGAAACGCATGCCACAAGCGATCTGGTTCAGGGTTTGAGGTTCAGAAGTACCTTGTGGTGGTCCCAGGGAGGATTGCTGCCTACATCCTTACCTTGATTTCCTTGGATTTCTACCCTGCAGACATGGCCCACCAGTACTAATATATCTTTCTGGCTTTCTAGTTGGCCGAGCCCTGCACTGAAAGGAAAGTTGAAGTCTCAACTGCCAGATCTTGATTGCTGCAGTTTGGGGCGAAGCGGTCCTGCTGGGATCAGCCCTGGGAAACTGGGTCACACGAGGTCATCCCCCAGCCGAGGCAGCCCCGGACGATACAGTCCTGCACATGGGAGCCACCTCCGCAGAGTGGCACACATGGCACAACTTGCAACCCTATAGGGCTCACTTCTTTCTTAATTGTTAAGGAAAGAAGGGTAATGTTTATTGGTAAAGTTTAACAAAAGACTATATTCTGAATAATTTATTAGTTCTTTCTATGAAGCCATAAGTATTTTAGAAAATGCAGGTGTCCTAACTCAGATTTAAACTTAATACTTCAGAAAAATAAAAGCATACTCAAAAGATGCAACGCACAAATATTCTCCAAAATGTGGATGTAGTAATGATGCAGACATTTTAGGTAGTGATTCCTGGGTTTGAAATGGAGCAAAGGAGATTGGGCGTGGTGGTACACCACCTATAATCCAGCATTCAGGAGGATGAGGAAGGAGGATTTTAAGTTTGAAGCCTCTAGCATGAGTTATATATACATAATGAGACACACACCTAATACTCCCTCCCCTCCCCATAATAAAATGAGACTGACTGAGAGGTAGTGTGTGACCTCCCAGGCCTGAGCAGGTGCTCTGGAGGGAGCTGGCAACCCTGCTGTACGTAAATGCACTTCCATTGTCCACAACATGAGGACAGGTTGTACACGGACTCCTGAAGAGCAGCTTCCCAGTACACAAATGCCAAGACCCAGGTGTTTGCTGCTTGATCCTAGTTGTTTTAACAGTAAGGAACAGGGAGTAAATGGGCCTTGACTGTCTCAGCCTTATGCTCACAAGAGAAGTATCTTTCTCTTGGGAAAAAAGTCCGAGCCAGCTGGAGTCATACAAGTCTCAGAATCCTCACCAGCAATAACCAGGTCTTTAATTCTCACCAGCACCTGAACTTGCTACTTAATTGCCAGCGTGATAATTAAATAATATAAATTGTTCCCTAGCTTTGCAATTTGTCTTGACTTTAGAATTTACTTCAGCTGGGACTTTCTTTATAAAAGATCGTTTTGTTACAGTAGAGAAACTGGAGGTTTGAGTCTTTCAGTCCTTCGCATTGTTTTAGTCATCATTAATTATCCCCAGGAAGGTTTGTATACCCTGTTACCCATGCCTCAAGGCGGGGTCTCAACCCTGGCTGTTGGAAGCAGCTTCTCACACACAAGCTGTTTTGTGGACACGTCCAGTGTTTACTCCAAAACAAAAAACTACCACTGGTTGTGCCAACTTCAGTGCCTTTTTGTAAATCACTTTTAATTTTCCTGAAGTTACTTTTTGAGAATATACAATGATTATATCGGCAAAGACATATTTTTTTTCTTTGTAAAAACTCTGAATTGAAATGTGTTTTTAAAAAGCTTATTTTATATAAGACAGGTTAGAATTCAAAAGTTTGTTACACAGGATATTTTCATTTGCGCATGAGATCAAGATGTAAAGCAAATAATACAGTTTGTTCTGAAAACAGTGACATTCCAAAAAGCACTTCTGTTTTCAAAAGGTAATTGGAACAGACATTCTTTTTAGTGCTGCTGTTTTCTCTGAAGACTTAGCATATTGTCTCAGTATATTATTGTCAATACTCAGATCGCGATTAAAGTACTGTTTTCCCCTAATTTTGCAGACTGCAGTTTTCTGAAGCTTTAGAAGTCACTGTTGACTATTCTATTTGCAAGACCGTGGGAATACCTATTCTGGTAAATGCATTGTTACCTCATGGCTCTGTGTCTCTTAAAACACTACTGATGAGAGAGATTACATGCTTGGGAGGAATGCCCTTCAAAAGTACACTAACCTGAGTGAGTGATTAGCAGATTTCTCTTTTTGAGAAAGGACTGTCGCCCTGGTTGGTCTAGAACTCCAACAATCTTCCTACTTCCGCCTCAAGTAGCTGGGACCACAGGTGTGACAATGTGCCTGGCTTATTCCTGGTGCGAAGGCCTTCTGTCTGACGTATCGTTTGAGAAGTCTCCTGTCATCAGTTGCAAACCAGAGGGCATGGGTAATCCCAGAGGAAGAACCTTCTCCATCCTATTGAGGCCAGGCCCCTTCTGGGTGGGTAGCACACACTCAGGCACGGTGTATCCAAACAGGGGTGTCCTGGCAGCCAAGGCCTTGCCTGTCTGCAGTCCCACCCTGAACTTGGCCAGAGCCTACTCTTACCCATGGAGCTCATGAATGCAAAGCCCACTGGAAGAAGAACCAGCCAAGAAATGTTAACAAGGAACTTACGTAACAAAGCAGGTTGTAGTCACCAAGTATTCAGACAATGACTTCAGAGAGTATCTAGAAACTCAATTTCAGAATTGTATTTGGGGGGTGGGGGGATGGAGGGGGGATGGAGTTGCCGAAGCAATTGAAAAAATGCTCAATTACTGGTCTATGGCTGCTTGCTCCAGACTGGTCAGTCTGTCCAGGTGATTCTGAGCTTTTTTGTCTTTGCACCATCTGTCATCAACATGACAGATTGGGGAGAATGGATAGGGCAGTTGACCCAGTGTCCCCCACCTGAGTCCTGTGTGAAGTCCCAGTTTCCATTTGCAGCCTCAGTGCTGTGCAGAGTGCCCCTGCACCTCCCTATAAACAGCCCAAGGAGAACATCAAGGTTTGTTCCTAAAATGCTGCCTGCTTCTTAGGTCAGCTGTTGGGGCTGTGACATGCATGGGATGCCCTCAGTGCAGACTGGGCAACTCCCTGCCTCCTGAGGTCAGAGGTGAGAAGCCTTCAGCTTTGTGCTTACAAGCTGCCATAGCCTGTTCCTCCTGCCTTAATGATTTTGAGGCAGGTGACAAGCCCACCATGGGACAAAACACAAGATGTCCTCTGGCCACTGGTGGCAAGACCTCCAAGCAGAACACCTGGCGGTGCTGCCAGCCCTGGGGACAAAAGACAGGACTGCAGTGACACAACTTGTCAGCTGCATGGCATGCGCTTGTTTTCTCTACAATAGTCACAACAAATTCTTCAAACAAAATAAAAAACACCACTGAAGCTTTATTACATGGTTATTTACAAAGAAAATGGAGCCACCCAAATATCCCAATTCTGCTGATATAGAACATGCTTATGAGAGCATTTCTACCATATAGAAATTGATTTTCTTAACATTTGGGGTAAACTTGTCATTTCTAAGTACTCTAACCGACAAGATTAACAGAAGCCAGTGGCAAGCTCAGTCCTGGATACTTCTGTTTGAGATCCTCTTGTCTTCCCAAGCGCTAGGGTTACAGTGTGAGTCCCTATGCTCCCACAGGCCAAGATACTTTATTGGCTCCAGGAAACACCCTACAGGACAGTTATCCACCTACGACTTCTCAAAGGAGCAGGCCGTAGCTTTTCCACAGCTTTATTCCTTCCCTTAAGGTTCAGGTCTACCTGCACATATATATACCAAGACCCCAGGTAAAGAAAATCAAAAATACTTAAATGACAAGAGTTTTCAGAAATGAAGAGTATAAGAAGCAAAATGAGGTGGAAACAAAAGGCCATCTTGTCTGACAGGCTTTCTATCAAACCCGGGATTACTGGGCAGCTGTGGTCAAGACCTTAGTGCAAATCTCAATGAAGCCAGCTCTCCCTAGAACAAGCCTGCCTTTGCCTGAGAATTTTTTGCCCCACACTTCACAGGGTTGTTCTGAAAGGGCACATAGGGTAGAGAAGCCACTGGCCAGAATGGTTTCCCTTTTTAGCGTGGGCTAAAAATAAGCACCCAAATACAGCATGAGACATTTGCGTACTTTCCTGCCAGCCTCTTCGTTGAAACACAAAATGACACTGTAGTGCTGCCTGGACAGGGAAAGAAGGCTCGAGTCGGGATGCCACTTGAAAAGGATCTCACAGGTAGCCTCAGGACCGGGTGATCTTCTCGGGGGGCATGAATCCTGTGTCCCCAAGAGCTCTGAGAGCAACACGACCATTGGGTCGAATCACCAAGTGAGTGATGCTCCCATTGTTGAGGGACAGACGGAGCCAACCTTCCGGAGGAAACTGTAGGGCTCTGGGAAGGAAGAGAAAAGGCAGTAGTGGGAAGAGCAGGCCTGCATCACATACAATTCAATGTCTGCTTTTCCAGTGTAATAAAGAGAAAGCTGAACACAGGGCTAGATCAGTTTCTCATTAGATTCAAGAATTTTTCCTGAGCCAGGCTCTGGTGGCTCAGGCCTGTAATCCTAGCTACTCAGGAGGCTGAGATCTGAGGATTGCAGTTCAAAGCCAGCCCGGGCAGGAGAGACCGCGAGACTCCTATCTCCAATAAACCACCAGAAAACCGGAAGTGGCGCTGTAGCTCAAGTGGTAGAGCGCTCGCCTTGAGCTGAAGAGCTGAGGGACAGCGCCCAGGCCCAGAGTTCAAGCCCCACGACCGACAAAAAATAGAATTTTTCCTGGACGGAAATGTGACCTACATCCTGAGCATTTTCATGCTCTTACTTATTTTTCTTTCTCAGTCGTGAGGCCTGAACTCTGGGCCTGGGCGCTGCCCCTCAGTTCTTCAGCTCAAGGCTAGCACTCCACCCCTTGAGCCACAGCAGCACTTCTGGATTTTTCTGCTTATGTGGTGCTGAAGAATTGACCCCGGGGTCTCACGCATGCTAGGCAAGCACTTTACCATGAGCCACATTCCTAGCCTATGTTGGCACAAGTCTTCAGCTTTAAGAAGCAACCTTGAGCTGTACCCAGTTTGATCCAGCAGCCTCTCTAACATTACCTGCTGTGGGTCTTTCAGGCTTTTATTTTGGTGATTCGAGATGAGTCTCATACTTTACTGGGCTTGTCACAAAACTGCACTTCTGGGATCTCAGCCTCCAAAGTAGCTAGGATTACCTGGTGCCCTCAAGCTGCCTTTTATTTTTATTTTTTTGGTCGGTCATGGAGCTTGAACTCTGGGCTTGGGCGCTGTCCCTCAGCTCTTCAGCTCAAGGCAAGGGGCTCTACCGCTTGAGCCACAGCGCCACTTCCAGTTTTCTAGTGCTTTATTGGAGATGATAGTCTCACAGACTTTCCTTGTCCGGGCTGGCTTTGAACTGCAATCCTCAGATCTCACCCTCCTGAGTAGCTAGGATTACAGGCTTGAGCCACTGGCATCCAGCTCAAGCTGCCTTTTAATGTCTCCTCTCAAGTACTATACCTCACAAATCCTCAACAAAACCAGCAGTGGGCATCATGAGCCTGAGTGGTAGCCCTGCCTCTCCTCACAGTGCTCTATCGACTTAGGTAAGCATGGCTGTATTTCAGCACAAGCTTCGGGTCTCATGACACTGTTAAGAGTGTCAACTTGGGCTGGGACGGTGGCTCAGTGGTAGAGTGCTTGCCTTGCATGCATGAGGCCCTGGGTTCGATTCCTCAGCACCACATAAGCAAAAAGAAAAAAGCCGGAAGTGGCACTGTGGCTCAAGTGGTAGAGCGCTAGCCTTGAGCTGAAGAGCTGAGGGACAGCGCCCAGGCCCAGAGTTCAGGCCCCACAACTGGACCCAAAAAAAAAAGTGTCAACTTAAGCACAGAGGTCATGGTTTGTTCACAAGCTAAGCGGAACAAATGAGATGGATCTCAGCAAACAGCCAGACCTATTCCACCCTAAAGAAATTTGCTCTTATTGGAGTATGTGGAGGCCAGGGCTCCCACAGCATCTGACCCCATGCGATGCCTGAGGGGAGCAGCCATTATGGACAGTGGGGTCATGGATGGTCCTGAGGAGTGGAGACCAAGTGCATAGCTTCAAGCAGCATCATCTACTAGGGCTCTTCTGTTACTAGCAATCTTATTTGTAATCTGGTAAGAGGCAGCCCTTGGCTACTGAAACCCTAGTAAGTATTTTCCTAAGAGGCCCAGGAGGGAGGAGGGAACCAAGCAAGAGCCCTCTGCAGTGTGTAGCTGCTGGTCTTATACAACCTAAAACATGAGCCTAAAACATTCTGTGGTAGACTGAAAAAAAGGACCCCAAAAAAGCCCCCAACAGAGCACTCTGAACAGTAAACTCAGTCACAGACCCCCAAACCCACAAGGGAAACATCATACACTGTCTGGATGGAGAGAGACATCACCTCAAAATCTGTGAACAAACTCAGCAGAAGCTACCAATGGATCCTAAAAGCTGTCTATCCAAGTGTGAGGGAAATGATTTTTGCACATTGCCTTGCACAAAGCTGTTGGGCATGTGGACCATCTCAACAAGCCTTGCCAGAAGACCTTTTGGCACCAGGAGCTCAAGAAAGCACACCAGAGACAACAAAAAGATGTTCTACACATAACAGACAGAGCCCCACCAGTGTCCTGAGACTCGGGAGCTCTCCAGCTGGAGGAATCCAAGGGCCAGGAAGGGTACAAGCTGCTCCACGGAGCAGCATCAGGGCACTAGGTGGAGGGTTTTCATTTCTACATCAGTCACTGAATGACAGTGTTCACAACATTCACGTTCTGTCCCCAGTGACCTGTGGGCATGTGACTTCCACCTCCTGGGCAGGTCCATGGCAGTGCCTACCTGCACACAATGTAGCGAATGACATTGGCATGACATATGAAGATTTCGTAGCTGTCCTCTTCTTGTTTGGCATCTGCCCGGTGGATATAGTTCCGGAAGGCAGCTTCAATCCGGGCTCCATCTTCATAATACTGCTGGGAACAGAGCAAAGGATGGTCAGTGTGAAAGATGTGGCTGAGGACAGCAGGACAATATCTCAACCTTAAGGCCTGTGGGGGAGCATTGTTACCACAGCATCTGGCTTCCAGTGAGACACAGGAGGGTCGGGCTCGATGGGAGCGCCTTCCCGCAGCAGATCTGTACTGACTCTGCAGACACCTGAGGGGGACAGGGACAGGCTCAGCGGTGGGTCTGAGAACCAACGTGCCCTTGCTAGGCGAGTTGCCTGCCACTGGCACCCAGCACTCACCTGGCAGGTGCTTGCTGATGATGTCTGTGGTCTCGACAGCACGTGTCATGGAGGAATGGACAATTTTATTAAACCTCAACCCCAAGCTCGCAAGTCGGAGTCCGGTAAGTTCAGCCTGTTCCCGGCCTGCAAGGAGAACAACTTGAGAACCTCACTCCCATGGGCCTTCCACTGCACACTGCACAGCAATGAGAGCAAAGGCCAGTGAAGGTCCTGCCTCAGGAGCCCTCGGCCGACCCAGGGCCCCAGGGAGCAGATTCTCCTCAACCTCACAGAGAAGTCATCTGGAAACCTGCCAGCTGTGGAGCTGGGGCCACCTACATTCTGTACATGTCCAAACACACCAACTAAATGAACCAAAGGGCAGACGCAGACACTGACTGCAAACACAGGCTTTCTCTCTGATATATTTTAGCACTGGATGAAAATGCCCCATGACAGGGCTGGGAAGGTGGCTCAGTGGTAGAGCGCTTGTCTTGCATGAATGAGGACCTGGGTTCGATTCCTCACCACCACATAATCAGAAAAAAAAAAAAAAAAGCCGGAAGTGGCGCTGTGGCTCAAGTGGTAGAGTGTTAGCCTTGAGCTGAAGAGCTGAGGGACAGTGCCCAGGCCCAGAGTTCAGGCCCCATGACCGGATCCAAAAAAAAGAAAAAAAAAAGAAAATGCCCCATGACATCATTTTCTGAGGTGGTGGCCATGTGTATTCTCTACTTCCTGTTTATGTACAGGAACAGAAGTTCTTCCAGGCAGCAGAGTAGCTTGGAAGCTACTTGGAAACTCTTGCCATCAAATATTTGAATATCTGCACAAAAAGTAAATGTCTCATTCAAATAGAGAAAACGTCACGAAATACAGGAAAAGCCAGCTAGTGTTTTGAGGCCTTATAATCTCAGTATGTGGGTGAATGCTTGGCCACAAAGCCATCCTAAAGTTCTCAACTCAAGAACAAAAGAAAAAGCCAAGACAGGCACCAGTGGCTCACGCCTGTAATCCTAGCTACTCAGGAGGCTGAGATCTGAAGATCACAGTTCAAAGCCAGCCCAGGCAGGTAAGTCCGTGAGACTCTTATCTCCAATAAACCACCAGAAAACCGAAAGTGGCACTGTGGCTCAAGTGGCAGAGCACTAGCCTTGAGCTGAAGAGCTGAGGGACAGCGCCCAGGCCCAGAGTTCAGGCACCACGACTGGCAGTTTAAAAAAAAACAAAAAACAATAAAACAAAGCATCATACATTCCAAGGGTCAACAACTTCACAGTAATAGATGCTAAGACCAGTGAAGAAGAAAGCCCAAAGAACCCAGAAGCATGATTACAATGACCAATGAGGAGGCTGGAGCCTGCCTGTCTCACACGGGTAAGGCCTGGGGTTGAATCGTTACTACCACTACCAGATGGGGAAGGAAGAAAAGCATGATCAGTGAATGGGGGCGTGCATAGAAACTGAAGGAATTCGGAGGATATAAACAACTGCAAAACCCCAATACAAATAAAGAGTTGAGGTTAAAAAAACAAAAAAACAGCAGGCACTGGTGGCTCACGCCTGTCATCCTAACTATTCAGGAGGCTGAGACCTGAGGATCATGGTTCAGAGCCAGCCCGGGCAGGAAAGTCCATGGGACTCTTATGCCTAATAAACCACTAGAAAACCAGAAGTGGGGGGCTGGGAAGGTGGCTCAGTGGTAGAGCGCTTGCCTTGCGTGCCTGAGGCCCTGGGTTCAATTCCTCAGCACCACATAAGCAAAAAGAAAAAAAGCTGGAAGTGGCGCTGTGGCTCAAGTGGTCGAGCGCTAGCCTTGAGCTGAAGAGCTGAGGGACAGCGCCCAGGCCCAGAGTTCAGGCCCCACGACCGGACCCCAAAAAAAAAAAAACCGGAAGTGGTACTGTGGCTCAAGTGGTAGAGCACTCATCTTGAGCTGAAGAGTGCAGGGACAGTGCCTAGGCCCAGAGTTCAAGTCCCACAACTGACAGAAAAAAAAACAAAAAAAACCCTGAAACTCTGAAAATGATAACCTCACTCACTATTTAAGTCAAATATAAAGCTCTGGCAAGTCTCTCCAGTAAAGCAGAAAAAGTTGAAGATGTTATCAGATCTTGGTAAGGTGATTATGTGAATATATCCCCACCCTCCCTTTGTGTTGGTCGTGTGGCTTGAACTCTGGGCCTGGGCAATTTCTGTGAGCTCTTCAGCTCAAGGCCAGCACTCTAGCACTTGAGCCACAGCTCAACTTCTAGTTTTCTGCTTGTTAATTAGAGTTAAGAGTCTCACAGCCTTCCCTTCCTGGGCTGGCTTTCAACAGCAATCTTCAGATTTGAGTCTCCTGAGTAGCTAGGAATAAAGGCATGAACCACTGGCGCCTGGCAAAGGTGGATATATTAAGAATAGTTAAGGGATGAGAATATGGCTTAGTGGTAGAGTGCTTGCATAGCATGCATAAAGCCCTGGGTTCAATTCCTCAGTACCATATAAACAGAAAAGGCCATAAGTGGAACTGTGGCTCTAGTGGTAGAGCGCTGGCCTTGAGCAAAAGCAGCTCAAGGACAGTGCCCAGGCACTGAGTCAAGCCCTAGGACTGGGAAAAAAAAAAAAAAGGCTGGGAATGTGGCTTAGTGGTAGAGTGCTTGCCTAGCATGCATGAAGCCCTGGGTTCGATTCCTCAGTACCACATAAACAGGAAAAAACAGAAGTGGTGCTGTGGCTCAAACAGTAGAGAGCAAAAGCAGCTCAGGCACAGTGCCCAAGACTGGCAAAAAATAAATAAATTTCCTCAAGCTGGGTATTGGCAGCTCACAAATATAATCCTAACTACACTAAGGAGGTTGAGATCTGAAAATCATGGTTCAAAGCCAGCCTGGACATGAAAGTCCATGAGATTCTTATCACCAATTAACCAACAGAAAAGCCAGAAGAGGAGCTGTGGCTCAAGTGGTACACTGCCAGCCTTGAGCAAAAGCAGCTCAGGAACAGTGCCTAGGCCTTCAGTTAAAGCCCCAGGACTGGCAAAAAGAAAAAGAAAAAAAGAAATAGGGAAAACATTAAGAAGTACAAGTGTAACCTTCAAAACCTGTGAGACATTGTTAAAAGATCAACCTAAGAGTCATGGGCACAGAAGAATAAGTGCACACTAAAGCGACGGAAAGCATATCCAATAAATGAGAAAATTTCCCAAATCTTGAGAAAGTAGCCATTAGGAACAGGAGGCCTTTAAGTCACCTAACAGACCAGAAAAGAACCACTCCAAAACACATCCTAAATAGAACATTAACTGTTCAGAACCAAGAAAGAATACAGGAAATTACAGAGAAATGCATGGGAGTGAAGCAAGCCAGATTCAAGCCAGAACAAAGGTTACGTGTTTTCTCTCCTGTGTGCACGCTAAACCTAAAAGATAAGCACATATACACATTCACAGGGAAATGTATACATACGTAGACAAGACAGGTAAAGGGAGACAGAACAAGTTTACAAGATGAGGAGACGGGACAGAGATGTTAGAGGGTAAATGATACTGAAACCCATTGTAAAGGAGGACAGCAAACAAAACTCACTGAAAGGGGCTGGGGGGCGGGGAGTGGGAGTAAGTGGTCACTCTGGTTAAAATAGTATGTATGCATGTGTGAAATACCAGGGAAGCCTCTGTGAACAAGTTTACACACACACACAATGTAAAATAGATTCTGCTCAGTGTGTGCATACTAGTAGAGGGGAGAGGAGAGGGTACAGGAGAGTAGGAGAGTGAGTATCAAAATATTTTATGTACCTTTGGAAAAAAAAAAGAATGAAGCTTGTTGAAACTTGTTTGAAATTTGACTCTGATCAAGTTATCTTGTAAGTATATATGGACATCTCAAAATGAAACCCCCAGCTGAGCGTGGGGCTCATGTCTGTAACCCTCGCTACTCAGGAGGCTGAGATCTGAGGATCACAATTCAGAGGCAGCTCAGGCAGAAAAGTTGGTGAGACTTACCTCCAATAAACTACTCAGAAAACACCAGAAGTGACACTGTGGCTCAAGTGATAGTGTTAGCCTTGAACACAAAGAAGTTCAAGGACAGTGCCCAGGCCAAGTTCAAGCCCAAGACCAGCAAACAGTAACAAAAGAAATCCCCTGCATAACTAGTTGATGCTAATAAAAAAAAAAAAAATGTGTAGTACAAAAAAAGTTATTGAAGCCGGGCGCCAGTGGCTCACGCCTGTATCCTAGCTACTCAGGAGGCTGAGATCTGAGGATCACGGTTCAAAGCCAGCCTGGGCAGGAAAGTTCATGAAACTCTTATCTCCAATAAACCACTAGAAAACCGGAAGTGGCCCTGTGGCTCAAGCTGTAGAGCTCTTGCCTTGAGCTGAAGAGCTGAGGGACAGCGCCCAGGCCCAGAGTTCAAGCCCCACAACCAAAAAAAAAAAAAAAAAGGTTATTGAAATTCAACCACGTGTGGTGTGCACCTACTGTCGCAAAGCATATTTACTGACAATGACAACATCCAGGTATGGGCTGATGACCCCCAAACACAGGGAAGTGTTTTTATTTTGGGGTTGTTTTTTTTTGGTGCTGGCACTGGGACTTGAACTTAGGGCCTAGGCCTGGGCACTATCCCTTAGCTTATTTTCACTCAAGGCTAGTGCTCTACCTCTTGAGCTGTAGCTCCACTTCCAAGATTTTGACGGTTGATTAGGGATAAGAATCTCATGGAGAACTTTCCTGCCCAGACTGACTTCTAACTGAGATCCTCAAACCTCAGCTTCCTGAGTAGCTAGCATTACATGAGTGAGCCACCAGTGCCCTACCATTTCCAGCTTTTGGTGGCTGACTGAAGATAAGGCTCTTCTGACTTTCCTACCTGAGTTTCTGTTGTTGTTGTGCCAGCACTGGGGCTTGAACTCAGGGCTTCTCACTCTGGCTCAGCTTTATCCGTTCATTAATGGTACTTTCCCACTTGAGCAACACCTCCACTTCTAGATTTTCTGCTGGTTAATTAGAGGTAAGAGTCTCACAGATTTGCCTCGGCTAACTTCCAACCTCCATCCCCAGATCTCAGCTTCCTGAGTAGCTACGATTATATGCTTGATCCATTGGTGCCTAGGCCAGCATGGGTTTGGGGAGAGTCAGTGCCCTAAGCACATTTGGGGCCAAACAAGGAGTCAGCAGGATCCAAGGCCCAGCACATACCCAGGGGGGTCAGAGTCCGGTCCTTTTCCATGGAGCCATCCACATGGTACTGGGAATGCCTGATGAGGAAGATGTGCCTTGTGGCCTTGGCTTTGTAATGGTCTAGCCTGGACGCTAGTTCTTCTTCTCCAGATTCCACATTCCTCTTTCTCAGGTTGATTAGAGAAAGTGGTTCTCGCCTAATGGGAAAGATAAGATGGCATGCCTTTCAGTATCTGGGAGGACCGGGAAAAACCAGGACCAGTATTCTCAACCTGGAGAAGCCATCGCTAAGAGCACAGTTGCACTCCACCGCACACTCTACAGTGCCCCGGCACTGGCTGGGGCTCATGGAACTGAAGCTACTAAAGGTTAACTGTGTGAGTTAGGGAACAACACAAATCAAACCTGTTAAAATTCATTCATACTGGTGGAAGAGGAAAGTGTAGAGAGCACTAAGGTGATGATAGCGGTTTAGAAGGGCCAATTGCACACCAAAGCCAAGGTTGACAGGACTGAGGCCAGACACCAGAGAACGTTTGGAAGCTACAGACAAAAAAAGAAAGCCACAGACTCGAGAGAGAGGCCAGAGCTTCACCACGTAAAGCTCTGGGCACTTCTAGCCTGGACAAGTGGCCACAAGAAAAGGCATTCCCTCCTGAGTCCCTTTCTCGTGGTTGATCAATCCTATCTGCCATGAGACCTTCTCCAAAGGACTTAAGATCCTCCATCTTTCCTGCCACAAATCCAGACAATGCTTGGATCATAAGTTTAAATCGGTAAAGCAGGACTTCACTTCACGCCAATTTTCTGGCCTCAAAAGTATTTTCCTCCAAAGGGCCTCAAGTTTAGTGCACTATATTGTTGTGTTTTTGTTCTCCTGACAGCCAAGGCTTCTCAAACTCACTCTGCAGCCCAAGCTGGGCTTGAACCCCGGATCCTCCTGCCTCAAGCTCTTGAGCGCCACCGTGGGGGAGAAGCCATGAGCAAAACAAGCCCCAACCGAGGCACCGGCCGGCACCGGTGCGGGCACCGGAGAGGAGCCCGGACCGGGCGGCCACGGCCACATCGGGCCGGGCAGGCGGCGAGGGGCAGCGCCCGGGCCCCGAGTTCAAGCCCCAGGAACGGCCCAGAAAAAGAAAAAGCCGGACACCGGCAGCAGAGCCGGCCCCGCTGGTGACGGCGCGTGCGGACCCCGGAGGCGGCGCTGCGGGGCCGAGTTCAAGGCCCACGGCCGACCCGACGGGGCGGGGGGGGGGGGGGGGGGGGGGGGGGGGGGGGGGGGGGGGGGGAGGGATCGGCCTCGGTCTGGAGTCCCCCCCCCACCCCCCTCCGTCCCCCCGCCCTCTCTCTCCGCCCCCCGCCCCCCGCCCTCCCCCACCCCCCTCCGTCCCCCCTCCGCTCTCCCCCCCCTCCGGCCCCCAGCCCCCCCGCCCTCCCCCGCCCCCCCCCCGCCCCCCTCCCTTCCTCCGCCCCCGCCCCTCCCCCGCCCCCTCCGCCCCTCCCCCGCCCTCCCTCCGCCCCTCCCCCGCCCCCCTCCGTCCCCTCGCCCGCCCCCCCCGCCCTCTCTCCCCCCTCCGCCCCCCCCGCCCTCCTCCGTCCCCCCGCCCTCTCTCCCCCCCTCCGCCCCCGCCCCCCCGCCCTCCCCCACCCCCCTCCGTCCCCCCTCCGCTCTCCCCCCCCCTCCGGCCCCCCGCCCCCCCGCCCTCCCCCGCCCCCCTCCGTCCCCACGGCCCCCCGCCCTCTCTCCCCCCCTCCGCCCCCCCGCCCCCGCCCCACCTCCGCCCCCCGCCCCCCTCCGCTCCCCCGCCCCCGCCCCCCCCTCCGCCCCCTCGCCCGCCCCTCCCCCGCCCCCCCCCGCCCTCTCTCCCCCCCCTCCGCCCCCCCGCCCTCCTCCGTCCCCCCGCCCCCGCCCCCCCACCCCCTCCGCCCTCCCTCCGCCCCCCGCCCCTCCCCCGCCCCCCTCCGCCCCTCCCCCGCCCTCCCTCCGCCCCCGCCCCCCACCCCCTCCACCCTCCCTCCGCCCCCGCCCCTCCTCCGCCCCCCCGCCCCTCCCCCGCCCCCCTCCGCCCCTCGCCCGCCCCTCCCCCGCCCCTCCCTCCGCCCTCCGGCCCCCGCCCCCTCCGCCCGCCCCCCCGCCCCTCCCCCGCCCCTCCCCCGCCCGCCCCCCCGCCCTCTCTCCCCCCTCCGCCCCCCCTCCGCCCGCCCCCCCCGCCCCTCCCCCGCCCCCCCTCCGCCCGCCCCCCCCGCCCCTCCCCCGCCCCCCCTCCGCCCGCCCCCCCCGCCCCTCCCCCGCCCCCCCTCTGCCCGCCCCCCCGGCCGCCTACCTGTCCCAGTTCGGGTCCCAGACGCCGGGCCTCGCCCGCGCGCTCCCGGCCCAGGCCGGCGGCTCGCCCACCGCGACCGCCGAGAAGAGCACGGCGGCCGAGCCCCCGGCCAGCCCGCAGGCCGCGAGCTGCAGAGCCTGCCGGAACGCCATGCCGCCCCGCGCGCGGAAGGACGGCCCGCGGCGGGACGGCGCGCGGCGAGGGACATACTTCCGCGCACGCGCGCTCGGCCGGCGGAAGCCCCGCCCCCGGGGCGTGCGGGCCGCGAGGGCCGCTGGGAGCTCGGCGGCGGGCGCGGGCGCGGGCGCGGGCGCGGGCGGCGGCCGCGCGGGGTCCTGCGGGCGGGACTTCGCCTCGTGGAGCCAGGGTGGCCGCTCCTGGGCCCGCGCCCCGTCTGCGGAGCCTCCGGGCCGCTGCCTCGCCGGGCGCGCGCCCGGCCCGAGGCGCCAGGCCGCGCCCCGCTGTGCGCTCACAATGTCCCCGCCCGAGGACGGGGGTGCGCGGGGCCCGCGGGGAGGCGCGGGAGGCGGGGGGAAGCGCGGCCTGGGCGCGGCTCGGCCCGGCGGGGGGCTCGGCCCGGCGGGGGGCTCGGGCCCGGCGGGGGACCCGGCTCAGCCCGGCGGGGGCTCGGCCCGGCGGGGACCCGGCTCGGCCCGGCGGGGGCTCGGCCCGGCGGGGACCCGGCTCAGCCCGGCGGGGACCCGGCTCGGCCCGGCGGGGACCCGGCTCAGCCCGGCGGGGGGCTCAGCCCGGCGGGGGACCCGGCTCGGCCCGGCGGGGGCTCGGCCCGGCGGGGACCCGGCTCAGCCCGGGGGGGGGGGCTCAGCCCGGCGGGGGACCCGGCTCAGCCCGGGGGGGGGCTCAGCCACGGGGGGGGACCCGGCTCAGCCCGGGGGGTGGGGGCTCAGCCCGGCGGTGGGCTCGGCTCAGCCGGCGGGGACCCGGCTCAGCCCGGCGGGGGCTCGGCCCGGCGGGGGACCCCGGCTCGGCCCGGCGGGGACCCGGCTCAGCCCGGCGGGGGCTCAGCCCGGCGGGGGACCCGGCTCGGCCCGGCGTGGGACCCGGCTCAGCCCGGGGGGGGGGCTCGGCCCGGCGGGGGACCCGGCTCAGCCCGGGGGGGGGGGCTCAGCCCGGCGGGGGGCTCGGCCCCGGCGGGGACCCGGCTCGGCCCGGCGGGGACCCGGCTCAGCCCGGCGGGGGGCTCGGGCCCGGCGGGGACCCGGCTCGGCCCGGCGGGGACCCGGCTCAGCCCGGGGGGGGGGCTCGGCCCGGCGGGGACCCGGCTCAGCCCGGGGGGGGGCTCGGCCCGGCGGTGGACCCGGCTCGGCCCGGCGGGGGGCTCCGCCCGGCGGGGGGCTCAGCCCGGCGGGGGCTCAGCCCGGCGGGGACCCGGCTCAGCCCGGCGGGGGCTCGGCCCGGCGGGGACCCGGCTCAGCCCGGCGGGGACCCGGCTCAGCCCGGCGGGGGGCTCGGCCCGGCGGGGGACCCGGCTCAGCCCGGCGGGGGCTCGGCCCGGCGGGGACCCGGCTCAGCCCGGCGGGGACCCGGCTCGGCCCGGCGGGGGCTCGGCCCGGCGGGGACCCGGCCCGCACCGCTGACACACAGTAGACATCCATTCAGCTGGCGCTGCCGGCCTCTGCAGCCTTTCGAGGAGGGACAGACGCCCTCCGGAAGGACTCGGGTTTGGTGGTATGAGCCGGGCCCCTCCTCCTGACAGGGCTTCAGGTTTACGCCCAAGCCGGCCTGGGTATGACTCACCTACTTACACTTCTTGCACACCTACCAGAACAGACTCGACACTGTGCCCAGCGGTTGGTTAACACGGGTGTCTTGCCAACTTTTCCCCAGGGCTGGCCTTGAACGATTATCCTGATCTCTGCCTCCTGAGCAACTGCCCAAGACCCCACTTCTAAATATCCCTGCAACGAGGATCACGCTGCAGTTTTCCAGGGGACACATTTAAACCATGTCGTATTTCATACTAAGTAAAATAAGCTGGTCATAAAGGATGTGTATCCACTCTTAGGGGTTTCCTGGCCTCGAATTCATAGACAAAGTGTAAGGGGTGGCTGTCAGATCAGAAGGAACAGGGTTGGGGTTTAACGTAAATGAGTGGCCAGTGACAATTGCGCAATACTGATGGTAATGCATACTGCTAACTGCGCTTAAGTTGTAAGCTTCCCTTTGTATATATTTTAACATAAAAGAATAAAAACCTGGCTTTGCATTTCTCCCAAAACAGCAAATGTTTTAAGAAGTCACAACCACCATGGAAGCAGCTGCATCACCCTTTATTGTGACCCTCATCTGGTTGAAGGTGACAGCTGAAGTCCTTCTGCTTTCCAAGTCAGCTGCTGCCTTTCTAAAGCACCACGTGCTGACATTGACATTTGTTTCTCCTCCTGTGATTCTGAAGGGTCTTGAATCAGGATTTAGAATTAGGTGAAGCCCCCCCCCCCCCCAGCAGGTGATTCCCCCAGGTCTCTGTCCATAGTGCATGTGAAGTCACTTCCTCAGAGAGGCCAGGTAGGCATACCAGAACAAAGCTGCCAGGTTGGCAAAGAGCACTCGGAACTGCCAAGAGAACAGGTGGGGCGTGGTAAGCAGAAGGCCTGACCTTACCCAAGAAACCAGAAAAAAGGAGTTGTACTGCTCTTTTACTGAACACTTAAGCTTGGGACTGCTCCCTCCCTGGGGCACGCCACTGTGTAAAACCCACATGGTACCCAGCCTGTCCCTGCTCCCCTGCCTGCCTCTCACATGACCTGTCTTCTGCTCTGGCCCCAGGGCACTTGTTTTAACCCCTGTCACCTTTATCAGGTGCTGTCTGTCCTATCCCTGGCAGGTAGCTCCATGTCTCCCTTGCTAATCACAGGTCTAGAGCAGTGGAGCACACAGTAGCTGTTCCGTGAATACTGCTGCACAATGTCTCTTCCCCTGTTTTCTGGCCTCTGCACCCCTCCATACGCTGGGAGCCCTAAATTCTCTTCTGTGTTGGCTCAGAACTCCTGAAAGCCTCTGATTCCTCTCTATAAGGTCCTGCGGCTGCACTCTAAAAACTCCTGCCTCCTATCTCTACCTCCCCAGAGACTGAGGACAGGTGAACCAGCTGCAGGCCTATGCCAGGAGCAAATCAACCCTCTGACTGGCTCCCTCTGCCCAGAATCCTCTCACCAATCAACTTACTCTCCTGACCTCTTTACTACCCCTCTTTATCCCCCTCAACTAACCAGCCTACCTCCACTCCTCAGACTCAGAACAAACGGATGGCTGCCCTGTTCCATGCCCACTGGAGTGCCTTTTCTGTCACAAGGGAAGGCCCTAAGCTAAGGAAAACTGCATGCTCAGGTCAGGGAAGCTCCTGGTCCACAGGGTGGCTCCAGGGAACTCCTTTTTCAGATGTGTGTCCACCTGTCCCACAATGAGCAGTATTCTGTGAACGCCTCTTTGAGCACTTGTGCCTCTTGAGCTTCAAAGTGCCTCTCCACCCCAGCCCTTCTTCTGTTCCTCCCTGCCTCTGCACCGACCCCTCAGTCCAGTCCAGAGACCCTGTGACTGATGCACTTCTTGTCTCCCCTTCCTCATTCTCCCAATTTCCTTTCCCCATCTCCTTATGTCTTGAAATGGTCTCACGATGGAGCCCAGAATGACCTCAACTTCATGATTCTCCTGTCTCAGCCTCCCAAGATCCTGGACTGCAGGTGTACACCACAGTGCCTAGCTAGATTTGTGATTTCTTGTGTCCCTCCAACCCACTCCATTTGAAGAATCTGGCTTCAACCCATCTAGTGATGACATGTTCTCAGGAAGGGTGCTGATAAGGTCACTGGGCTCACACTTCTGTTCTGCTTGAGTTTCCCACAGCTTCCACTATGCCTGACCAGCCCTTTGTCAGGCACTATGTTCCCTGGTTTTCTGCTGCTGCTTAGGATGTATGATGTGATGACACATGAATGTGTGTGCTCTATATGTACAGGAATGTGTGCACATATAGCGCTAAGTGGTATGAATGTAAGTGTGTGGTGGATGTGGCATGTGTAGGTAGTTTGTGTGCAGTGTATGTGTTTTGAGTGTGTACATGGAGTATGGTTTATGTGGGCTGGGGAGTGGCCTGCCACCTCATTCCCCCATCCAACCAGGTCCTCAGCAGGGTAGCTCCCTCCAGAGAAGTGTTCCCAGGGCGGCCTGATGAGGGCACCTGCCTTTCCCCTCTGCACTGTGCAAAAATGTAGCTGACTTTCCTTCTTCTGGATTTTGAACTTGGCAAAACTCCTGGTGTCCAAGCACAACTCCAGTGAGTTCCCTAGCCAACACTGGGAAGAGGAGGAAGCCTTGATCTGTGAGCCCTTTTCCCTTGAGTTGGGTGTCTAGGGGACGCCGATAGGTATAGCCTGGCGAGAGGGCAGCTGCTGTGCAGCCTCTGCAGCACTGTTCTCCACCGTCCAAATCGAGCCCAGACACACAGGCCTGCCGCTCTCTACCAGTACCCCTGTGCTCCAAGTTCCTCAAGAGGAACTGCTCTGTCAGGCCTCACCCTGCTCTACTCTTCCAGCTTGCTTACTACAGTTTCTGAGCTCAAATCACCCAGAATGTTTCCATTACCAGAAAGCCCCAGAAATTGCTAAATGAATGGATGGGGCTGACTGCTTAGCTCCAAATCTACAGCGCAAGTGTTAGGGTACTGGACACTGTGCAGGGCTGGACCAGGAATCGGAATTTTATCGAAAGCAAGGCTTGAGAGAAACTACAGCCTGCCAAAGGAAAGCCCAGCAAGGCTGTGGGAAACAAGGCCGTCCTTACCTGCAGAGGTACGTAGTTGATGTTAATAAACTGCACGGGTGTCCACACCCTCCAGTTCATCCGAAGCGCAGGCCAGAAGCCACTCTTCACCCGGGCAGCGAAGGTATCAGCACCCTTCCCCTGTAAATGGGGCAGCTGTGAGAACCAGTGACCTGCTTTCTACTTCAGCTGGAAGAGACTCTTGGATTTGTCTGCCCTAGCCAACTTCAAACCAGGATCCTCTGATCTCAGTAGCTAGGATCTGAGTACCTAGCATTACAGGTATGAACCACTGGCACCCAGCCTAGGACTCTTAACACATGTAAATACACATGTAAAAAAAAATAAAACCTTAATAAAAATAAGAAAAGCAGATAAAAGAAATACACGTAGCCGATAAGCAAATGATATCCAATGTTATAAAGATTCACAAATTGAGGAAGTAGAGCTGTGGCTCAAAGTGGTAGAACACTAGCCTCGAGCAAAAAAGCTTAGCGATAGCACCCAGGCCCTGGGTTCAAGCCTCATGAATGACAAAAAAAACAAAACAAAAAACTTTAAAAACCAGTACTGGTGGCTCACACCTGTAATCCTAGATACTCAGGAGGCTGAGATGTGAGGATTGTGGTTCAAAGCCAGCCTGGACAGGAAAGTCCATGACAATCTTATCTCCAATTAACCACCAAAAAACGGGGAAGTGGCGCTTTTAAGTGGTACAGCACTAGTCTTGAGCATAAGAGTTCAGGGACAGCACCCAGGCCCTGAGTTCAAGCTCCACAGCAGAGGAGAAGGAGGAGGACGAGGAGGAAGAATAGAAGAAGCAGAAGAGGAGGAGGAGGAGGAGGGAGGAGGCGAAGGAGGGAGAGGGGGTGGAAAAAGAAAAGACACAGGGGCTGGGAAGGTGGCTTCATGGTAGAGCGCTTGCCTTGCATGCATGAGGCCCTGGGTTCAATTCTCGGCACCACATAGCAGAAAAACCTGGAAGTGGTGCTGTGGCTCAAGTGGTAGAGCACTAGCCTTGAGCTGAAGAGCTGAGGGGCAGCGTCCAGAGTTCAGGCCCCACGACTGGACCTCCCTCCCCCCCAAAAAAGAAAAGACACAAATTATGTTCTCACTGAAAGATTTCTGAAGTATCATAAAGGAGTCTTAAATTTTTGTACTATGGGTTGCTTCAGAACTTGGTGAAGCCAATCAGGTTTTATAAGATACAACAAAGCATACAGAACTACAAAGGAACCAATTATCAGAATATTTGGAAACAATCCTATGGTACAATACATGTGCTGCTCTGTCAGAACACCAGTGACAAGATGTAGTAATGCACTTGTCTAATGCTCCAAGAAATCTATAGGAACTGAGATTTGGAATCAAGATGCTTGTGATTTCTACTGAGGGAAACTAAATAATGCTAATATTGCTAAGGTTTGTCTCCTACCTTTTTAAGAGAGACTGTAAAACTTTAGGTTGAAAGCAGTAAAAAGCTCCCAGGACTCCCAGAAGTCCTGCCTGGAACATTAGCTCTCAGAGCCACAGTGGAAACTTCACCCAGCACAAGGCCAGGACCCACCTCCAGCAGGTTCATGAAGAGGAAGAACAGCATCAGGAAGGCTGGTGCGAAGAGCAGACGGTCTAGCAGGAGCCTCTTGACCGTGGCCAGAGGCACCTCGGGAGGGATCCAGTGTTCCATGAAGAGGTAGAAGTAGTGGCTCAGTGGTCCTGTCACAAAGAACCTGAGACCCACGGTGAGTGAGAGCCAGGCTGGTTCCCTCTGGTCCAGCTTCATCCCAAGAGCCAATCCTGGTCCTAAACCCTGCTCAGAGAACCACAGGCCTACATATATGTACTTTCTGGAAAATAATTGGGTCAGCCATTGTTTTAGCCTCAACAGAACGAAGCCCCTCCCTCCCTCCCTAAGGTTCTGTGCCCCCTGCGGCCCCTACTCCATGTGTGTGGCCAGCTCTCCATACCTGCTGCTGGCAGAGCTGTGCGTGTGCATGCCTGCTGTGGCATACATGTTCCCTCTGTTTGGTGGTCTGCACAGCACAGTCAAATCTATCTGGGTATATACCCCCTTTTCATCCCCTGGAAGGCAAGCATCATCATGTCTTGTCTGTCTGTCCATTGCTGTCTGTCTGTCCCTAGACAGGCTCTGGCCCTAGAAGCAATCAATGATAAAGAAATGGACGTGCCTCTGCGTTTCAAGCTTTTAATCAAGCGGGCCAGGGTGACTCTGGGGCGGAGCTCTGAAATTCCAGAGTGCACCCGCAGAGGAGAGAGCTCGGGAGACCCAAGCTCCAAAAAGCAGTGCTGTAGGGAATGCACTGAGTGAATTTAAATCCTGATATGGAAAGTCTAGCAGGTTCTCTGATAGGCCTTGCTGCTCTGCTGTTGGGAGTTATATGGTCTGTGGGGAGAGAGCCAAGTCTTGGGCAAAGGGAAGACTATGTGGTGGGTAAGGCTGCCATCTAAGGGCACTGAACACCGCTGGCATAGGACACGGCTTTAGATGCATTAGAGACAGTAACTCCAGTCAGCATGTTTGCAGATACAAAAAAGGCATCTAAATTAATGATTACAAAAAATTCATTCTAGGGCTGGGAAGGTGGCTCAGTGGCAGAGTGCTTGCCTTGTATGCAAGGCCCTGGGTTTGATTCCTCAGAACCACATAAGTAGAAAAAGCCAGAAGTGGCGCTGTAGCTCAAGAGGTAGAGTGCTAGCCTGGAGCTGAAGAGCTGAGGGACAGCGCCCAGGCCCAGAATTCAGGCCCCAGGACAAAAAAAAAAAATTCATTCTAAGCCAGGCACCGATGGCTCACACCTGTAATCCTACCTACTCAGGAGGCTGAGATCTGAAGATTGCAGTTCAAAGCCAGCCCAAGCAGAAAAGTCCCCATGAGACTCTTTTTTGGTGGTGGTCTTGGGACTGGAACGTTGGGCTTAGGAGCTGTCCCTGTGCTCTTCAGCTTAAGGCAAGTGCTCTACCACTTAAGGCACAACCCCACTTCCTCTTTTCTGGTGGCTAATTAGAGATAAGAGTCTCATGGACTTTCCTGCCCAGGCTGGCTCTGAACCTCGATCCTCAGATCTCAGCCTCCTGAGTAGCTAGGATTATAGGCATGAGCCACCAGTGCCCAGTCCCATGAGACTCTTATTACCAATTAACCACTCAGAAACCAGAAATGGAGTTGTGGCTCAAAATGATAGAGTGCTAGACTTGAGCAAAGAACACAGGGACAGCACCCAGGTCCTGAGCTCAAGCCCCACAACCAAAAGTAAGGTAAGATAAAATAAATTCACTCTAGGGACTAATAAAAAAAATTCACTGTAGTCCCTAGAATGAATGTGTGCATGCGTACATGCATGTGTTTGTGTGAGTGTTGATAAAAATAGCTGAGTGCATATACATAGTCCTAGGTCTCTGGAGGCTGAAACAGGAAGATTGCTTGAACGCAGAAATTTGGGGCCTGAGTAATATAGCAAGACCCAGTCTCATACTAACAAAGTAAAATAAATCCTGAATCACTTTGCCTTTGGAATTCAGAAAGTAGTTTGGAAAGTGATGCTTTTCAGGATATATTAGTTTTCTGAATATTTACACGGTGAAAAATAACAGAATCTAATTAGCCCTATCTGAGCTGCTTTTCCCCTTCTGTGAGTCCAGTGAGACTCTTGCAAGGTCTCTCATTCCTGAAATCGGATTGTAGGTTCAGGTAAGTCATCTGCCCTCAGACCTCATTCAAAATGGAAACTACAATGCCAGGTGCTAATGGCCTACACCTGTAATCCTAGCTGCTCAGGAGGCTGAGATCTGAGGATTGGAGTTCAAAGGCTGCCAGGGAAAACACCAGAAGTAGAGCTGTGGCTCAAAGTGTTATAGCACTAGACTTTAGCAAATAAGCCCAGAGACAGGGCCCATGCTGAGCTCAAGCCCCAAAAAGAAAGAAAGAAGGAAGGAAGGAAGGAAAGAAAGAAAGAAAGAAAGACCTTGCAAGCCTGAGGCCCTGAGTTCGATTCCTCAGCACCACATAAGCAAAAAGAAAAAAGCCGGAAGTGGCACTGTGGCTCAAGTGGTAGAGCGCTAGCCTTGAGCTGAAGAGCTGAGGGACAGCGCCCAGGCCCAGAGTTCAGGCCCCACAACCGGACCCAAAAAACAAAAAAAAAAAAAAAACTGACTTTTTTCTTACGATGATTACTTCAACACTCCCCCTCTGACACACCACTCAGCCATACCCCAACCCTTTTGTTTGTATTTTACATTTCATATAGGGTCTCAAACTCCAGTCCTCTCCTGAGCAGCCAGGACTGCAGCTATGCAGGCTACTTCAATGATTTTGAAAAAAATCCAAGTAAGATTATTCCAAAACGTTGGTGTCAGGAGCCTGGCTTTGTTGTTGTCAGTTGCTGTGGGCAGCCAGTCCCTCTGTGGCACTCACCCATAAACTGCATATCTGAGAGGCCCACAGACATCTAGATTTTGAGAGTTTTTTTTCCTCTGCTTCTTCTCAATCATCTGGGCCAAGAGATTCCCAAGTGCTGACAAAATGCCGCTGTGGACAGAAAGCAATCACGTGTCAGTAGCAGGCAGTGGGAGAGGTGCACACTGTGCCTGGAATTAGCAGGGTTGCTCTGAGGTTGAGGGTTGGTGGGATGAATCTTCATGAAAGCAGCTGCCATGGGAAGCCCCCACATCAGAAGGTAGAAACATCAAACAGCAACACATGCACACACACTAACACAGTAAAATTTCCCTTGCTGAGCTACTGCCATCCTACAGAATGCTACCCTTTGGGGCATCAGAAAGGTGTGTGGTTCTAAAAGGACAACAAAATTCTTACAATGACATTGTTCTGTGCTTTGACTATGGTATGGATATGTATGCACATGTAATAAAACTGTACAGAAACAAACTCACATGCCAGGTGGCAGCACTCACACCTGTAATCCTAGCTACTCAGGAGGCTGAGATCTGAGGATCAAGGTTCAAAGCCAGCTCAAGCAGGAAAGTCTGTGAGACTCTTATTGCCAATAAACTACTCAGAAAAAGCCAGAAGTGGAGCTGTGGCTCAAGTGGTAGAGCACTAACCTTGAGCACAAAGAGGCTCAGGGACAGTGCTCAGGCCCTGGGTTCAAGCCCCAGGACCAGCAGCAATAATAATAATTAATAAAAAGTAAACTCACATAGATAAGTACAGGAAAAAAAAACTGGAATCTACTTAGCTGACTTCAAACTGTGATCTTCATATCAACGTCCTGAGTAGCTAGGATTACAGCTATTGAGCTGGCACCACTGTAATCCACTGATATTGCTGTGAATCGCTGGCACCCAGCCATCACCTCATTTTTTTTTTCTTTTCTCTTTGGTTGTTCATGGGGCTTGAACTCTGGACCTGGACCCTGTCCTTGAGCTCTTCAGCTCAAAGGAAGCACTCTACCAGCACCATTTCCGGTTTTCTGGTGGTTTATTGGAGATAAGAGTCTCACAGACATTCCTGCCTTGGCGGGCTTTGAACCGTGATACTCAGCTCTCAGTCGCCTGAGTAGATAGGATGACAGGCATGAGCCACCAGCATCCAGCAGCCATGACAATTCTTGATACATTTCTCTTATTCCCTGGAGTACTCCATTTACAGAACCCAAGAAGTGAGGTCTTCCCAAAGTGACCTCTCACAGTGCTCTCAGGAGAGGCCGGCACCCAAGCCGGCTGGGTCAAGTCTGAATGGTAAGTGACCACATTCCTCTTGGGGTTTACAATGGCCTTGAATTTTTCTCCTTTGCCATAAACTGTACTCTAGTAGTTGTGTCCAACCTTGCTCTTTATTCCCAACTGCAGAACCTAGAATTCCAAGGTAGGCTTTGGATGCAAGCCTTCCAGTCTTGGCACAGGTGTGGCTGTAATTAACCGAAGCAGGCTCTTATCTTCAGTGCCTCATTCATCTATCTTCTTCCCATAGAATGACTAAAGCAACCCTAATTGGGCCCTGAGGAGCACATCATGCCACAGCCAAAAGACAAACTAATACATACTTCACAGAGCCGGTTAGCAGCAGAGACTGGATCTGCTGTAGCTAATCAGTTTTATCACTTCATAAAAGCTTAGTTCCTGGTTTCCAGGGAAATAGTTACGAAAAACAAAAAACTGGAAAATCTAGATTATTTGTAGTATGATTAACAAAATGTTTCCAATAGGGCACATGGTTCCAGGCAATCTCTGTATTAAAACTGTGTGAAGGACACTGCCACAGTAAGGTTTTTAGTTAGAGCAGGGATGGGTCCAGTTGTTCCCTCCCAGGCTAGGTTTGAAAACTATAAAATCTGGGGCTGGGAATGTGGTATAGTGGTAGAGCGCTTACCTAGAATGCATGGAGCCCTAGGTTTGATTCCTCAGCACCACATACACAGAAAAGCTGGAAGTGGTGTTGTGGCTCAAGTAGCAGAGTGCTAGCCTTGAGCATAAGACGCTCAGGAACAGTGCCCAGGCCCTGAGTTCAAGCCCAGGACTGGCAAAGAAAAAAAATACTATAAAATCCAAGGTTTTTAGTAATAGAATATAAGGACCCTCTTGAAATGATCCTTAGCTGCTTCTTTCTCAAAGGCCATCCTTTCCCAGTTTCTCCAAAATGTGCTAGTTCATCCCTTAGAACCTTTGAACCTGCTGTGCCCTCTCACCCTCCAGCTATTGCTTCACTCATCTGCAGGCTGTTCAAGGTTGTCTCTGGGGGAGACAACAGTCAATGTCATACTGTCATCTGATTCTCGTCTAGGATGGCCTCTGCGTGACAGGCTCTAGCCCCTATGTGGACCACAGTGGTGTGCTCAGCACACAGAAAGCATTCTCAGAAAAGTCAAATCAGTGGGAAGACCGGCCCGGGGTGCCTGACTGACCGAGGGGAGGACCAGCGTGTGTGTGTGACTGACCGAGCCAGAGGACTGGCCCGGGGCGACTGACTGACCGAGGGGAGGACTGTCCCGGGGTGCCTGACTGACCGAGGGGAGGACCAGCGTGTGTGTGTGACTGACCGAGCCAGAGGACCGGCCCAAGGTACCTGACTGAGCAGGAGGAATGGCCCAGGGTGACTGACTGACCGAGGGGAGAACCAGCCGGGGTGACTGACGACTGAGGGGAGGGCCAGCCGGGGTGACTGACCAAGACAGAGGACCGGCCCTGGGGCGACTGACTGACCGAGGGGAGGACTGTCCCGGGGCAACTGACTGACTGAGTTAGAGGAGCTCGGACCAGCCTGGGTGTGTGTGTGTGTGTGTGTGTACACGGGAGGAACGGCCTGACACGGGAGGAATGGCCTGGCCTGTGTGTGTGTGTGTGTGTGTGTGTGTGTGTGTGTGTGTGTGTGTGTGTGTATGGGAGGACTGGCCCCGGGCGACTGACTGACCGAGGGGAGGATTGGCCCGGGCGACTGACTGACCGAGGGGAGGACCGTCCCGGGGTGACTGACCGACCGAGGGGAGGACCGGCCGGGGTGACTGACCGAGTTAGAGGAGCTCGGACCAGCGTGTGTGTGTGTGTGTGTGTGTGTGTGTGTGTGTGTGTGTGTGAGTGACTGACCGAGGGGAGGACCACGAGTCGCACTGTAACTCCCATAGAGCCTTCTGGAACCGGAAACTAAACCGGAGCCAGCCATGGGGGCAGCAGGGCCTTGGTGTCCGTGCTGGCAGCTCCCGTGTGCGGGCGTCCCAGGGGCCCTGCACCGCTGGGAAAGGACACCAAGTCCACCCTGGTCTGGAAGGGGGGGTGTGCGGGGCTGCGGAGTCCACGTGGGAGGGGGGGGGGCGCGGGGCCGGGGTGTCCACGCGGGACGGGGGGCGCGGGGCCGGGGTGCCCACACGGGACGGGGGGCCGCGGAGTCCACGCGGGACGGGGGGGCCGCGGAGTCCACGCGGGACGGGGGGGCGCGGGGCCGGGGTGCCCACACGGGACGGGGGGCCGCGGAGTCCACGCGGGACGGGGGGCCGCGGAGTCCACGCGGGACGGGGGGCGCGGGGCCGGGGTGCCCACGCGGGACGGGGGGGGCCGCGGAGTCCACGCGGGACGGGGGGCGCGGGGCCGGGGTGCCCACGCGGGACGGGGGGGGCGCGGGGCCGGGGTGCCCACGCGGGACGGGGGGCGCGGGGCCGGGGTGCCCACGCGGGACGGGGGGGCGCGGGGCCGCGGAGTCCACGCGGGACGGGGGGCGCGGGGCCGGGGTGCCCACGCGGGACGGGGGGGGGCCGCGGAGTCCACGCGGGACGGGGGGCCGCGGAGTCCACGCGGGACGGGGGGCGCGGGGCCGGGGTGCCCACGCGGGACGGGGGGGCCGCGGAGTCCACGCGGGGCTTCGGGCGCGGCGGAGTGCGCGGCTTGGCCCTGGGGTCCCCGCCTCCCGCCCTCCGCCCGGCGCGCGCCCACCTGCTGGCCGCCTTGGTGAGCACCGGGTACCGCCGCAGAAGCAGCAGGTACCGGGCGAGCGCGCGCCGCGGGAGCGCCCCGAGCGCGGCCTCGGCCCGCAGCCGAGACGCCGCCGGTGCCATCGCCGTCGCTTCCCGGAGCCGCTCTGGACTCCGACCCCGCGGCGGGCGCAGGGCCCGGGGCGCGGGGCGCGGGGCGCGGGGCGGGGACGGCCTGACATTTCCAGCCCCGCCGCGGCCCGCAGCGCGGCCCCGGAGCCACCCCGCCGGGCGGGCAGCGCCGCGCCGCACATTCTCCCCGGTCCCTGGAGGGCCGCCCCCCGGAGCGGGCTCGCTGATTGGGCAGTGCGAAGGCGGGGCGGGGCGGGGCCTCAGGGGGCGGGGCCGCCGGGCGCGCGGGAGCTCGCGTCAGCCCAGCTCGGGCCGGCCGCCCCCACGCGCCCCGCAGCCTCGCGCCGATTGGAGCGGGCTGTGCGCCCAGCGCCTCCTGATTGGATGACGTTTCCAGTCTCTCGCGAGAGTAGGTGGGAGCGCGCCAAATTTTCTCGGAGCCGGGCCGGTGCGGTCGCGGTGCCATGGTCCTGAGGAACAGCGCGCGGCGGCGCGCGGAGCCGGACGGCGACGGCGAGGCCAGCCGGTGAGAGCGGGTGCCGGGCTCCCTCTGCTCTGCGGGCCGGGCCCGTGCTGCGTCTCCCAGCGCTCGCGGGCGGGGTCCTCCGTCGTCCTCCCGAGCCTCCCCTGGCCGCGGCCACCTTTGCGCCTTCGCCCGCAGGGCCGGGGCCGGGGCCGCGGCCGCCACCCCGCGGGGAGCGCCGACCCGGAGCCGACCGCAGCCCCGTGGTGGCCGGGCCCACGCGAGCAGCTCTGGCGCGGGACCCTCCCTGGCATGGACTGGGGTGTTGATTAGTAGCCACGACCGGAAGCAGGCCGGGAACACCGGGAAACGAGAAACGGCGGTAAAGCGGCCGAGCTGGCCGCGCAGCTCCGTGGTGACTGTATCTTTTTTGGCACTGGGATCGAACCCAGGACGCTGCACCCGCCAGGCGAGCGCTTTGCCGCTGAGCTACCTCCCAGACCAGTGGTGAAATTCTTGACACAGCTGCACAAGGCCCTGGTTGATCCCAGCACTGCAAAAAGGGCAGGTTAAAAAGTGAACGGTAATGGCAGCTAGGTACTGAGCTGAAGGTTGCATGTCCGTATCTCATTGAGCCTTATTTAGACGGTTAGGAGGTGGGCCACAGCTGTGGACATCTGTGGCTAATCTGTGCAGTAATTACCTGAGTAGGACACCTCTCCCTCCCGTTCTGTGTCCTTCCGTACTGGAATTGAACCCAGGATCTCACTTGCTAAGCAAGAGCTCTGCCACAACCCCATCCCCAGCCAAGACACAGGCTTAACCATCCTACTTAATTTGTACTACTTGGGTCTTGCTCCCAGCTTTTTAAAGTTATTTTTCAGATGGGGCCTGAATTCGATTGACCCTTCTATGGCCTGTCGTGGGGTTGGCATTACAGGCTAACTTTTTGCCCAAGCTAGACTGAAACCTCAATCCTCCCAATCTCCCCCTCCCAAGTAGCTGTGATTTACAGGTGTGAGCCACATACACACTTTTTAAAATGCTGGTCCTGTGGCTTAAACTCTGCCTGAGCTCTGTCCCTAAGCTTTTTGGCTCAAGGCTAGCGCTCTACCACTTGAGCCACAGCTCCACTTCTGGCTTTTTTCTGAATAGTTTATTGGCAGTAAGAGTCTCACAGACTTTCCTGCTAGGCTGGCTTTAAACCTTAATCCACTCTATCAGTAAGCCATATTCCCAGCCCTATCCTTTGCTTTTTCAGCCTCTTGAGTAGCTAGGATTACAGGCACAAGCCATCGACACCCAGCTTAATGTCACTTTTATGTGCCAAATGGTACTTACATTCTTTTGTTTTTACTTTTTAAAACTTACTTTTTTGCAGTGCTGGAGGTCAAACTAGGGCCTTGCACATGCTAAGCAAGCACTCTGCCACTGAACTACATCCTCATCCTATTTTGTTTGTTTTTGTTTTATAGTCCTGGGACTTGAACTCAGGGCCGGGACAGTCTCTCAGCTTTTCCTCAAGGCTAGCACTCTACCAGTTGAGCCACAGTACAGCTTTCAGCTTTTTCTGTGTATGCGGTACTGAGGAATTGAACCCAGGGCTTCATGCATGCTAGGCAAGCACTCTACCAGTAAGCCACATTCCCAGCCCTTTGTTAGTATTCTGATAACAAAGTTTTAAAAGACCTGCCCTGACCAAATTTTTTTCCATAAATCTGATAAGCCTTTTACTAGTCCCAAAATTTTTTACAAATATATGTGCCGTACCATACTGGAAACACTTGGAGGTGGCTAAGTGTGAAGAGGCAGGAAGTGTTTGAGTGGTAAAGTTTGAGTTCTTTCTTTCACTCAGGGATGATGGCCCCTCTTCCTCAGCATCTGTGCTCAAGCGCCTGGAGAGGAGCCAGTGGACAGATAAGATGGACTCGAGGTTTGGTTTTGAGAGGCTGAAGGAGCCTGGTGAAAAGACTGGCTGGCTTATCAATATGCACCCTGTGAGTACCTGTACCTCTCTCCTCAGAAATGGCTTACTTTCTTGTAGCATAGTTCTTGCCTGGAGAGCAGATAATGGGGAAGAAGAGAGCTTGTGGTCTGGCAGAGCTGGTTGTTCAAACCTGTCCTTTGCCTTTTTTTTTTTTTTGCCTGTCCTGTAGCTTGAACTCAGGATCTTGGCACTGTCCTTGCACTTTTTAGCACAAGGCACAGAGCCACAGCATCACTTCCGGTTTTCTAGTGGTTTATTGGAGATAAGAGTCTCACGGACTTTCCTGCCAGGGCTGGCTTTGAACCGAGATTCTCAGATCTCGGCCTCATGAGTAGCTAGGATGACAGGTGTGAGCCACCAGCACCCGGCTTGTCCTTTGCTTTTTAACATAATGGAGGGCCACAGACCACTGTGGTGAGACCAAGATGAGGGTTGTCGTATTTGCAATCAAAGACTATGAAGGAGAACTTCAGGTTAAGTCCCCTTGGGAACCGTTGTGCCATTCTTGTGAACAAGGATGGTGAGTAAAGAGCCAAATGCAAGGACTTTGGCTTTAAAATGCTCAGTTTCTCAAAGAGAAGCCTGGAAAGCCAGGCGCTGGTGGCTCACGCCTGTCATCCTAGCGACTCAGGAGGCTGAGATCTGAGGACCATGGTTTGAAGCCAGCCTGGGCAACAAAGTCTGTGAGACTTACCTCCAATAAACCACTCAGAAAAAGCCAGAAGTGGCACTGTGGCTCAAGTGGTAGAGCACTAGCCTTGATCAATAGAAGCTCAGGGATAGTGCCCAGGCCCTGAGTTCAAGCCCCAGGACTGGCAAAAAAAAGAAATGAGAGAGAAGCCCAGAAAGATTTCTTAGGCTGTGAAAAAGATAGTATGCCCATGTCAAGTGGCTTTCTTACAGACGGAGATTTTAGATGAAGATAAACGCTTAGTCAGTGCAGTGGATTACTACTTTATTCAAGATGATGGGAGCAGATTTAAGGTAAGCCCCTAGGTCCCTCCCTGCCCCACCAGTAAAACTAGAAAATGGTCCAAAACAATAGGTGCTCTCTCCAGCTCTGGGTCCATTAGGAAGGGAGGGAGAGGTTCTCGTGAATAGTTTCCTGTAGCCTATCTCAAACAGGGCCCCCTTGGGCTCATCAACTGCATATAGGATGACCGCAGAGAAATCAGCTCAGGAAGTTGAACAATGTTGTGTCTCTCAGAGTCTTGCCCCAATATACCTGTAGATCCAAAATGCCTATGTGTCTTCTCTACAGCTGCTAAGGTCAGGGTGACGTGGATTGAGACTTCTCATTGATTAATGCTGTGAATGTCTGTGTCTTCCTTTCTTATTTTTGATTATACATGGATGGGTTGATGACTCTTGCAGGTGGCCTTGACCTATAAGCCATATTTCTACATTGCAACTAGAAAGGTGAGTCTGTATTTGTTAGAATCGGGTCAGATAATATGGGCCTTGTTCTGTGATGGGCTTTAGAATTGGGAAATGGGCAATGAAAGAATTAGATCTTACTAATGGGAAGTCCCTTCTAATCCTGATTTAGGGTTGTGAGCGAGAAGTTTCATCTTTTCTCTCCAAGAAGTTTCAGGGTAAAATTGCCAAAGTAGAAACTGTTCCCAAAGAGGACCTGGACCTGGTGAGTTCTACTCGGACCTTGGGAATGTGACACTGTCTAGCTGCCTGTAGCAGGTGACGCTGGGAACAGTAGGAAGTCTGGTTACTTATTTTTATTTTTTGTGCCAGTTTGGGGCTTGAACTCGGGGCCTGGATACTGTCCCTGAGCTTTTTTGCTCAAGGCTGGTGCTCTACCATGTGAGCTTTTTGGTGGTTAATTGGAGGTAATAGTCTCATGGGACTTTTCTGCCTGGGCTGGCTTTGAACTTTGATTCTCAGATCTGAGCCTTCTGAGTATCAAGGATTACAGATGTAAGCCACGATGCCTGGCTTCAGGTCATTTATTGGATAATTGGGCAGTATGGAGGATGGTGATTGTCCTCAAAGCTGTCTTCAAGGAACTCTGATGACAGTTGGCCACAAGCAGAGGTAGAGGAGGTGCAGTAGAGCCTGTATTGACTTGTGCATGTCTAACTGCAACTCATTACTCATTCACCTGTTTCTCTTGAGTCACGAGCATGGTGTCTTCCCTTTACAGCCAAATCACTTAGTGGGTTTGAAGCGGAATTACATCAGATTGTCTTTTCACACTGTGGAAGACCTTGTCAAAGTGAGGAAGGAGATTTCCCCTGCTGTGAGGAAGAACCGGGAGCAGGACCATGCCAGCAATGCGTATACAGCAATGCTGTCCAGGTAAGTTTCCTTCTTGTAAGCAAACCACCTTCTATTTTGGAATGACAGAACAGAGAGGAAGTGGAAACTCTGCAGTGAGGCTTCAGTGATGACTGGCTCTATTCAATGAAGAAACATTGGAGCAGTTACATAGAAATTTCCATGTTTCATGTTAAATACACAGTGGCTTCCCAAGGTTATATCTTTATGTCTTAGCCCTCTTTTTCTTGTGTAGTGAGTAGGCTTGCATAGGGGATGAATTGCTATGACAATAAAATAATGTTTTAAAGAGATTTCTCTCTCCTTAATCCATCTACAACTTT